TGTCTACCTGTTATTAGGGAGGTCAGACCCCAAATCCCCCATAATTTGTCTCATCTGGATTTCATTTATAAGTAATTCCACATTTGGTCTTTATCAGAGAAACTATCATTTCCCTTGATCTGTCAAAACTCAAGACAAACAAACTCAAGTGTCAACTTTAATAATATTAATGATAATGCTAAATGATATCCATTAAAATAGTCAAAAATAAGACTTTTTTTTTTTTTTTTGCTGTTGGTGACTTGAGGTGATTTTTCTTGACAAAAAATTTGGCAAACTGCACCAAAGCATAATTTTTCTCTCTAAAATCTCTGAAGCACAGCAGGTTGTCTGACCTTCAGCACATAAACACAACTGTGTTAATGGGGATTGTTGGCCCGTCACATAGAGTTGTTGGTATATTGTACATGAACCAGACCTGGTGCTGGAGCTCTGCCATTACTGTCCTGACACGGTCCTGAGATCTGCGGTCGTGTGCCGGCCAATCATTCACCCGGCTTTATGGGACAACTTCGGCTGGCCTCCAGTCACTTTTATTGGTGCTCTCAATTTCCTGCACATCTCGGCAAGCACACACAACCATAATTCTGCCGTGGGTCTGTAGGTTTGTCATCACTGATGCAGACAGACAGACAGAGGTGTACTGACTGCACAGCCATATAAATTTCATTCTCCTAGCTCAGGTTCATTTCACAGAGATCTGCATTCCCAGATCACCCTCTTTGATCCCTTTATTTCTCTGCAGCTTGTTGAGTGAACAGCACTCTCAAAATATGGCATGAGAATTAGATTCTCTCTCTTCTTGTCTCCTGTCTCTTGGTTTGTTCTTATCCGCTCAGTGATTGGGATTTTTGAGTTTCTAACTATGTGTATTTGGATCTTTAAGGGTAAGGAGGAATATTGAGGATTAAACTGATTAATACATTACTATTCCATGAATACTACATAATAAAGTACTGTATGAGAATATATTTTAAGAAGAAATAAAGACATTGACATTGTTGAGCAACTGTCAGTGAATCCAGATGGAAAAGCAGGCTGCACATAGCTGGCATACCTGCAGTGTCTTTTAATGAGGTGGCAGGTGAGTGAGGTGTGTGTGTACCTCTGATAGGCTGCTGACGCTGCAGATTTCTGGGATACCTTCCTGCACCTGGCTATACAGTTCACCCTCTCGCACAACCTCAAAAACGTCCCACTTTTTAACAGGCCTGAAAACGGTTTCTGATGATTAATTTTTCCCTAGCGGTGACTTCTTCTAAAAATGTTGACGTAACCCATTCTTACATGTTCTTAAAGGCAGCATTAAATCCAAATTTACTTTATTGTGTGTTACTGTATGTTGTTTCACAGAAAAAGTGAAACTTTACAATCTCACATCAAAATCCAATAACCTTAACTACTTTTTATTTTCTACAAATGCATCATTTTAAAGAATGTGCTGCGAAAGCCATTTCATGTTAATATGAATTTGGAGTTGTCCCATTTGTTTGTTTACTTTGGCTGCAGGGTATAAACATCTTCCTTTTATGAACTAATAGCGCAGTCAATACAAGTGCACTTCATGACATTTTGATGGTTACACATAGATTTACTTTATACTTCTTCCTGTAGGAAAAAGGCCATTTTATCTGGTTCTTAATACCACATTGTTTCATGGTGAAATATACACCACATTACAGTAAAACGCTTTTTAATGCAACATGTCTATGCAGCTCCTCCATTTGTTAAAATCTTGGCCAGAGAAGACGGTCTGAATCCTCCTCCTACGCCAGACTCCCGCTGCGGCCGCGGAGAGTGTGTTAGCATAAACTCTGATAGCGAAGCCAGTCGATGTTAATGGACCTATATTGACAGACATGCAAATAAGGGTGATGGTTTATGTTGGCAACGCTCCGCTCTCTTCTTGAGCCGTAAATTTAGTCTCTCTCAAGTTGTCCAGAGTGGCTGAGGTCCAAAAGACGGTGGGTGGTAGATCCAAACATTTAGTTATTTAATCCTTTTGGCAGTGGGGTTGTGGATCACATCAGCTTTGGCTCTGGTTACAAAGAACAGTCGTTACCTCAACATTTATCTCAGCGAACTACGAGCATCTAACTAATGGTAGATTGTTAAGGCTAAGTGTGTTGACATTAATGAGTTTGTAATTATTTTTTTACTGCAAAGCGGGTACGAGGAATTGCTTGCGGTCAGAAGTGGATTACATTTCAAACCGTGAAACTCCGCTACAGTACATTACTTGAAGCATTAATGATTCATCAGTGCACGTTATTTCAAATAAAATAAAAAATATCAAAATGTTATAAAATAAATTTTTCACATTTTTTTTATTCAGAAATACAATTGTAAAATTTGCAAATGTGTTGACATGATTTCAAAAGCCATTTTAGCTAAACCAGTTTAAATCCCATTTAAAGTACAGTAAGGACAGTTCTCCGCCTGCCATCGTTTTAGTTTTCTTCATTAGTTGCTCCCTTTTCCCCACAGAGTTTAAAGAGAATCAAAGCTGCATCGTTCGTGTGGTTTGGCACAGGCATCCGTGTGTACGTTCGCGACCTAGAGAACATCACAGACGGAGGCTCTAAGACTGCATTCCCATGGGTCATTGCTGTGAGGAGCTTTGATGAATGGTTAAGCACTGCACTTATGAGGAACATAGTAATTTACCAGGTGAATGTGTTATTACAGCCATTACAACGCGTGCTCTCTAGACAGGAGGCGTCTCCCTGCTTGTTGGGGGAAGCCAGACCCCCGTTATGAAACATTCAAGAGGGAAAAAGTGCAACGACATGAATCTAGGGACGCCTAGGAGGCTTGTACGCTAGCTGTAGCCGCACACGGGTGGTCCTTGAAAGGAAGAGGCAAATCTGTTTCTACATTCTTTCTCTGAAGACAGGGCCTTATTGTCAGTTGTGCACGGCGCTAGTACACACCCCGCCACCAAAACACAAACACAACCTGAATTTCAATCATAAATTTAGTATGTGAGGTCAGCATGTGTAGTCATCATCGCTGCGAGAGCGTGATTCAATTTGAGTTGATCGTACACAGTTGTGACAGTTTTATTGAGCTGAGTCAGTGCTGTTTGCTCAAGGGCTCAGATATGAAGAGCAGCCATGCTCCTGCAAACAGAAGATCCTGCTAAAGATAGACCGCATTCCTGCGGTTCGCGAATGCGGGCACAGCGGTTCTGCCTGATAAGGAAGATCGGCTCGATCTCTTGCTCTCCACTTCTCACTCACATTCCTTGCTTTCCCTCTCCCGCTGTTGTTTTTGTTTTGTCCATTTTTTTTCTCTCTCTCCCTCTCTCTCTTTCTCAGCATTATGTGAATATGGAGGAGGGGTTCAGGAGGAGAAGTGTTTCCTGTTCTCTTGTGTCTGAGAACCTCTTTCTCTCTCTTTTCTTGCACACTTTGTGTGTGTGTGTGTGTGTTTGTGTCCAGCAATAACAAAAAGTGATGTTGCTAACTTTTTAGTTGCAGGACAGTTAAGCTATGCTAAAAAGTGTTGACTTTCCAACAACCAGCCACATTTCTCACTAGAAAAATGCTAAATTGTTACATTTTTTTGTCACAGTACAACCAAGCAAGCTCAGGCAATAATCAAACAGGCTGTCACTCAAGTAGCATTTTTGCTGGGTCATTCATGTAAATAAAGTGGTTTGAAAAATATTTTACGCTATTTCCACTTGGATTAAATGTAAATTGCATATTCGCTTAAATTGTTTGGTGAGATTGAAAATATCAAATTCCATAGAATCAATATTTTAGCAATATTCAATTACAATTTTACTTATAATATATACTAATAACTATTTTTCTATTCAATCCTGTCTGTAGCTTTTTCTATTTTTCAAAAATGTTTTATTTTCTGTTACAACTTTAGTGCAATAAAAAAAAACAATTCCACAGTAAACAGAATAATATGTGAGTTCTGCTACTGTGTTGGATTCTGGTTGTCCTATTCCAACACCAATTTATTTATTTTCAGTTATTTTCCACTTGTGATAGCTTGAAAAAATATTGCCCCTTTAAATAGCTTCAATGTAGTTAGCTACTTTTTATTAGCTAATAACTTTTTTTTTATCTACAATGTCAAGCAAAAAGTCTGCAAGTGTTTTCATTTTTAAACATGCTTTCCGCAAGCGAATCCCAGCTAACCAGCAACAGTGCCGTGATCACAAAAGAGAGGGAGGGAACGAGAAAAAAAAGGAAAGGAATGGAATGGGCAATAATTGGGAGTCGGGAAGGGAAAGAGCGAGAGAGGGACAGCGTCGGAATGGGAGAGAGAGAGAAAGGAAAAGGGGGAGAGAGGGAGGAGGCAGACCCGTCGGCCGTGATTGTGAGTTTGCACCATAATGGGAGGGAGAAAAATGGAGGAAAGTAGGGAGGGTGAAAAAATGGGAAAGGAAGAGGCCGGCTTTGGCCCAGCTGCAGCGAGAGAGAAAGAGCCTGAAATACTCTTTGAGTTGGAGTGTTATTATCGAGGCGAGAGAGAGTGAATTTCTGCTATGTTTTGAAAGCTAAAATGTTCCAGAGGTCATCATCACTAAAGTGAAGGTAGGGCGGTCTGAAGCGTCACAGTGCTGAGATTAATGACAGCAGCTCTATATCTCCTGGGTGGCCTGGGTTCCTCCACTATGTACCCTGCAGTATATTTAGTCAGAGTCTTTCTGCTTGACTGAGTGGACATCCTGTGCTAACATCTTTTCCTCACCCATTCTCTCTCTCTCTTTTTTTTCTTCATTCTTTCTCTCTCTCTCTCTCCCACAATTTCCATTTTAAGTGGTATTATGAAAACAAACTTGTGATCTGTTTGATGTCGGGCTGAGAAAAGATCGACTGTAAATGTCTTGCATATGGGAATGCGTGATTTTTGTGAAAAGGTTAACCAAATACTCACAGCAGCTGTGGAATCCAGACCATATTCAGAGGATTCTGTGAGTTGATGTAAGGTTCATGCGTGAGACTAAAAGACACACATGTTCTGTTGTTTTCCAGGGTCGTACTCTCAGGATTGAAGCATGGATGATGATTTCGAACGGCGCAGGGAGCTCAGGAGACAGAAACGGGAGGAGATGCGTCTGGAAGCCGAGAGGTAACGTGGGCGTCATTAATGCTCGCTTTGCACCGTAAACCGAGGGCTGTTAATGAGGCTGAGATCATCAGATTGATTGCACAGCCACTGCTTGTAAAGATTGTTCACCTTGCTAAAACATGACAGCTTGTAAACTGTGCGACTGCTCTGTGGCCAAACGAGTCTTCGTGCATTCGTGCAAGATTTAAAAATGCTTTTTAATGTGTTTTCTGTTCCAGAATTTTTTGGGGGGGGATTAAGTGAACGCTCAGTTTTATTCGATATTATTAAAGAAGGCAGTTGTGAGAGGGATAGTTTGCCCAAAAACTAAAGTTCTGTCATCTTTTATTAACCCTCAAGCTGTTCCTATTTGATTCTCTTTTATCTGTGGAACACAAAATACCAAGAATGCTGATGCTCTTTTTAATATACTGAAAGCAAACAGTAGCTATGTTTCCATCCATAATGTAACTCATGTGTGAAATTGGAATATTGCATAAATCATTTGTGAATAAAGCATGTGTTCAAGAGAAATGACAAAGTGACCAAATCGTCACTTCCAGGGAAATTAGCGCAAAATCTCTGTAATAGAAATGGAAGTTACTGCAATCGGGGAAGCTACTGTGGGTCTTTTTTCATACATCATAAATGACTGAACAAATGAAACAGTCATGTTATCTTGCGTTTTGGATACCTGGTGTTTGAGAATGCAATCGCATGAGAGTTCTGGGAGGTAATTATACCCAACCATTTTGATGACAGACTTTGGCTCTGGTATATCAGAATGATCAACATTGAGATATGCTGTACTATGATGAAATTTATTCTGTAAATGTGTTTTCATCATAGTTTATGCGCATGTCATCTTGTTGGATTAAAAAAAATATCCGTCTTAATTGAGCGCAAGCGTTTTTTTATGCACATTTTTACAATTCATGTATATCTTGGTGTTTTCATCCAGCAATTTTTTTATGCAATATGATATCCCAAAATTTGATTTAAAATAGGTGGATGGTAACACAGCTAGTGACCAGGGGATGCTATATTGAATAGCAATATAGCTATTCAAACTATATTCCTATTTATATTATATTTCTTTTCTTTTCTAAGGCCATACAATAACTTTATGTGAGAAAGAGACGACAAAGTTGTAGTTTGTGGTTTATCTTTGCTGCATCTGCTGCAGCGCTTAAATATTCAGATATTGCTGCATGGAGACATATTATGCCAGTGTCAGTGGTGGCATTGATCACATCAAGCGAATTTGAATATACTGAAGTTTGAATGCAATATGAGGACGGTGGTGAAAGGGAAGATTTTCAGTGTATAACATCTTAAATTTAAGTTATCAAATGTCATATGGACTACTTCAATGGTACTTTTATGATGCTTTTTTGTTATTTTTGAATCTTGACAGCATTTGTTTCTATTTTCATTTGTGTGGAACAGAATCCTGGACACAATTCAGTTGTTCAGACTCAGTAACATTCTGGATTGCAAACTATTGGTTATTATTGTGGCGAGACCCGCAAATGGCAAATTCAGCCATGGCTCTTAATTTTTTTGTTTTTTTTTTGCATTCAAATATTATCACATTTACAATGATTCATAAAAGTATGCTCCTGCATGTATTTCCTACATTCCTAACTCTTAATCATTCTTCTCATAGTGGGAAAAAATAAGAAAAATTTGTAATCACAATTTGTAAGAAATCACTGTTTTAATGCTTTTGTGGCCCAAAGATTGCGCTATCAGCTCCTTTTTCTCTTTCTGTGATGATGGAGTCTGCTATTAAAGCAGAAATCTGGTGTTAACGTAACACATATTAAACATCAACGGACTGGCACTTTTGCGAGCCGCTTGACCATTTAAAGGCAAAGGGACGCTCCCGTAAAAACTGGAGGCACTGACCCAAATATACATTTTGCATCAGGCTATAGATTATCTCTGAGGACTGTGCATATCTGCAAACACAGACAACAGCTGTTTCTTGAACATTTATGCCCCTGTCAAAAAGAGTTATGGGTAACGGCTAATAATGCAAATCAAGCTTATTGTCATACCAGGAGAGCATACGATTGCATGAATCAGCTCTAAATCAATATATTTCAGCAACAATTATTTCTATTATCATTGGCTAGGATGTTAGACCAGAGTAACTTGGTGTACAGTATGTTTCGAGTGTCAGCTTCCCGTCTGCAACGGCTTTCCTGTTTCCTCCAACCGTCGTACCATGAAGCATGAATGCTTTTCTTTTTCATGATTTAAGATATATGGGACATTTTTCACCTAATCGCAGGGCGGAAGCGTAAAGCCGATGACGCACAGATTAGGGACCATTATATTTTACAGCATAGCATACAACAAATGCTTTTTTTGGCTAAATGTTATAAACCTCTGAAAAGGTGGAATTGGGTTTCCTATGCCAAGTATCGCATTTGGCAGAAAGTTACAAATGCAACCCGTTCAGCTCTGCGACACAATGTGATCTTGTGTTTATGTTCTTGTGGAGATTTTGGCCCGCTCCTCTTTGCCTGCTCGAGTTAGTGATAAAAGATTAAAACGCTCTATTAAATTACTTTCATTATGCAAAGATGCTGTAACAATCAATATTTACTCTTTGGCGGTAATTGAACTAGTCAAAACCATGTGTCGTCCTGTGGGCCCCTTCCATTTCGGCCATCATCACGTTGCACGTCGTAGACAAAAGTCAGTTTTCGATGTACATATGATAAGCGTTGTCGCTTTGCCAAGTGTCTCTACATTAGAAGTGTTTACTGGCAGTGATTTGGGATGCGCTCTGTCTCCAGACGGTCCTCAGTGCAAGCAGAGGGACAGCGGGCAGACAGATGTTGGCTCGGCGCTGATGTGGAGAAACAGAGAAAGTCAGATAACGCATGTACACGCAGGAGCAGCTTGGCATCCGAGTCCAGCTGCTTTTCCATCAGGCGATGATGGCTTGATGTGCGCCAGTCTTTTTCTTCTGGAAGACGTGCCAGTGTTTTCAACTGCTGAAAATGACAGGAGAGGAAAAGTGTGCGAGAGAAGGAGGCTGTGTGTTCTGTCTTTTGTCTGTACTGTATGCATTACTTTGAACTCTAAAATGTGCTACACTTTCACATTAGATATGATGCAAATACAGCGTTCCCATAGACAAAACTGTCTGATGCTGATTGCATAGATGATGTAAATGCATTTCTCAAAATCGCAAACTCCAATCTGATTGTCTGACTGCTATTACATTTCCAGGAGTCAAGATGTAGAGGCTTTGATCAGTTTGTTAGGAAACGTGTTTAAATCTTTCCCCGCCATTGACAGAATTGTCCTTTATTTATGACCATTTATACGGTAGGGTTCGCTATTACACATCTTCTGAAAGAGTACAGAAAATGCGGATCGAAACGTGAAGAATAAGCAGGAACAAGCGATTGAAGCATTGCTTACGCACATGTAAAATAATGCGATCATCAAACATTCAACAGCATATAAATCAAAACTGCCTATTACTTAATTAAATGTTTACCCAGGAAGAGCTACAGGACTGTGAAGCTTTGAAGGTGTTGATGGACTCAATCTACTCCATCTATGTTTTGATCATCGTTCTGAGTCCGATCGAATGTAGTCTTTGATAAAAACGTGATTTTTCACCGCTGATGGGGGAAGAGTTAAAAGTAACTGAAAAAAAAAATGTTTTTAAGGAACAAATAGTCGCTGGATTTGGAAAAGTTTGCAAGGTTTATGACAGTAAAACTTTGAATAATCATTAAGAATATCAACTCAATTAGATATAATTATAGCTAAGTGCTATAATTGTTCTTTTGAATGGACAGAAATTCTGCACACCGCAAATGTTGGCTTATTTCTTTGATGTTGTCTGTTTCGCAGAGGCTGCTGCTGACCCACTATTTGAATTAACTGCTTCTTTGCTGAACCCTGGTCAATTGTGGTATCTTTCATTTCTAATTTATCTGCCCCAAATCTTCATCCTAAGAATGAAATGCGGTTAGTCGTTTTACATGAAGGTCAGACGGGCCCTTCCTGTTTAAGTGGGCGGTTCATGGCCAGAATAAGCTGCAAAGTGAATGAGACTTTATGCTGATAGTCAAACATCTGGCTCTGTGAGACTATAACAACTAGATCATAGATCAGGTCTGCTATGCATTTAGAGAAATAGCTGGTCAGAGCCGCTTCTGAGATGACTGGCACTGTTGAAGGGTCAAAGGGTTCATGCTGTTTTTAAAGCACCATGTATACACAAGCACAGTTACACACACGCACACACACACACACTCCTGTGTGACTGGAGTGGCCTTTCCCGGGACAGGTTGATGTGTTCCAGCTCCGAGTCGGGTCATTGATACTCCGCATACACACACAGGAATGTTTTGACTGCTGGCTCCGTGTCCCCACTCACCATGCTGACGGAATGTTCTGACTAATGATTACCAAAACCTACCATTTCTGTCCAGTCCACGCTTTCTATTTTAGCATCAACTGCAGAATAAATTTGGATGGAAGCTATGTTTCCATCCAAGCTAAGAATTGAATTAATGGAAAATAAATCTGAATATCACGAAAAGCAATTTGTGACGGAAGCAGCATTTCCAGCTGCATTGTTTAAAAGAACAAATTCGTCATTTCTAGAGAAATTGCAGTAGAAAGGAAAATGGAAGTTGTAGTCACTGGGGAAGCCATTGCGGCTCTTTTATTATGTGTAATAAATTACTGCAACAAAGCGCTCTGATGGACTTTATGTTTGACAGTGATCGATTCAAGTGTGTCTTGTCAAGACAGTTCTGGAAGGTAATACTAGCCCGTCATTTGAGCATATTCAGTCACATGACTTGAGTCACAGTCACACTTCTACTACTACTTCTAAGAATTTTATTAGGTATAGGTAGATGCGTTTAGATTGTAGTTTCTGCACAAATAAAAAAGAAATATCCACCTCCAAAAACCCATAGAAAAAGTTATTTATTGTAATAAATAAATAATTATCTGCCAGGAGATTATCCATTAAGTTTACACTTGACATGTCCTTTAACCCTAAAACAAAAAAATCAATACGGAAAATTCCACAGTACACTGGGCCCTATTTTTAGGAAATTTTCTTAGAGTGAAGCCTTTTATGTGCATTTTTAGAAATGTTATGCACATCTTGCATGGAGTTTCCATCCATAATTCTTTTTATTTTGTATATTTTTATTTTATTTGTGTATTTAAAAAAATATGAGTTATTGCATAAAACATGCAGGGCGGATTATGCAACAAACATAAAAAATTATAATAATTATTAATGCCTCATATACACCCATATACTTTTAAAATGTGTATTTTTGTGACAGTAAAGACATTAATAATGTTACAAAAGATTTCTATTTTAAATAAATGCTGTTCTTTTAAACTTCATATTCTTGTATGCTTGTATGTAGTTTTCTCTATGGATCTACTGCCATCTTGGCACAACACACATCTGTGCTGTTCCCATGAGAGGCCAGGAAGAGCTGAGGAAATAACACCCATCCTCAACGAATGGCCCGTTCCAAACACACTCTCTCTCTGGCTGGTTAAAGAAAAGCCCGCTTGAGGGTATACATGTGTTCAAGGGATGCTGTTACTGAAAGCTATGAGGTTATGGGGCAGAAATGAGAGCAGGTGATCCTGTGCTGTGGTCAAATAAGGAATGGACGGATCTGTGGCATTGGAGATGAGTGTGGGGTCAGTAAGTAGAGGAAGAGCGTGGGAATAGAACAGTGATTTGGCAGGGTCCAAAAATGTCTCTCTCTCCCAACCCTTTTGTCTGTGATTGCTCTCGAGAGCCTTTGCCCTGTGTGATGTTTTTTCATTGACATTTCTGAGATGTTTGAACCACAAGAACATACTTCCCGCCTTGATAGTTCAGCCGTTCAGGCCTGGATGCATCGGTCGTCTGGTTATTGGCTCTGCATGTTGTTATTTGTGCTATTATGAGAGCAAATTAGCTGCAACATTAGCTGCATATCAATTTAATTTCCCACACAGTAACCCTGGCTTCCTTTATAGAGTTTATGAATCCCATAAAACATGCTGCTCACCGCGTAGCTCTCACCGCGCACACTATAAAATAATTAATGCTACACGGCTGAAAGATGTGTTCCATATGGAAATCATGTTCGGCTGATGTCTTGGTTTACATCCCATATCACTACAGGTACTAAAGCAATGCCTCCAAAACTCCTATACTGCTAAAAAATGCTGAGATCCTCCTGAATGTTATTGCAGCAGGCAGTCAGCGTGTTTTATTTCTGATTTATTTTTGTGGTTATGGAACAGGGAAGATGGGCGGTGTTCCCCGGAGGGATATCGGATCAGAAACTCATCTAGACTCGATGGGCTGGAATGTTAAAGCGGATTTGAGGGCATTCTGTGTTGTCTCGAAAACTCCCTCTGGATTTTATTCATTTTCATATTGAGAGAAATAATTCTTTTATTGATCTGTTAAAATAATAGTTTGATGTATTGTAAAATCATACGGTAAACTTGCAGGACTTCCAACATGGCTCAATTCATCCAGAAATCCTTGGATTTCCCATGTCAGAAAGCAGCAAAACACTGTTAATTCCATTCATACAATGGCATTGGAAATGTTTTTTTGGAAAATGATCAGAAACAAATTCTGTTGAATAATGTTATAAGTTAACCTCAGAGAAAGATATTTGATATGGTCCCTTACAGAACAAATACTTCAGTATAAACACAGTTGAGTTTGTCTGGTATGATTGGTTTGTGAACATAATGACAAAGGGAGAGAAGACAAGAACAAGAAAGATGGAAAGAAAGAATAACAGAATCAGCTCTCTATATGATTTCACTCTCCCCAAGGTTTTCCATGGGCGTTAACAGAGCACCACGTTCAGTCCTGAACACATTCCTAATCACTGCACAAACTGAGGAAGGGCTTTTTTGTCAAGATTAAGTCTTTTTCTCCCAAAAAAATCTAAAGCAAATGCCTTTTTTAGAGCCGTTAAGATTTTTTGCCTTTTGACATGTTTTATGCCAGCTGATTTTATTGTGAAATTTGACTCAAACTGAAATAGAAGGAAAATGGAAAATAATTAACATAGCTGCTGTTCATAACATTTCAAACTATAGATAATCATGCACATTTGATCTGATATAACTGGAGTGCAAGGTTATGAGATGCATTATGTGAATGCTTGGCTAAAGAGATGTGTCTTTAATCTAGATTTAAAATGGGAGACTGTGTCTGAGCCCCGGACTTTATCAGGAAGGCTATTCCAGAGTTTAGGAGCCAAATGTGTCTCTCTTCCACCTTTAGTGGACTTAGATATCCTATAGATACTACCAAAATTCCAGACTTTCATGACCTTAAAGAGCGTGTGATGGATTGTAGGGCGATAGAAGATCAGTTAAATACACAGGAGCTTAATAATAGGTAACCAGTGTAGAGATGATCAAATTAGTGTAGTATGAGTCTGACCATATTTACTTGACCTAGAAAGAACTCTAGAGCTGCATTTTGGACTAACTGTAGCTTGTTTATTGAGGATGCAGAACTAGTAATGCATTACAATAATCTAGTGTAGAGGTCATGAATGCATGAAATGGCATTATGCAGCAGAAACAGATAACGTTCCGTAGATTAGGTGGAAGAAGGCTGTTTTTGTAACATATGAAATGTTGTTTTTGAAAGACGAGTTGCTATCTAATATTAGACCCAGGTCTTTAACTTCTTGATGAAAATTGTATTCTAAGAGATTCTGTATACAGGTTGTTGGTCCAATAAGTAATAACTCAGTCGTATCCTAATTTAATAGAAGAAATGCCATCTAATATTTTACATCTGTAACACACCCTGCCAACTTGAATAATTTAGAGATTTCATCTGGACGTGATGAAATGTATAACTGAGTATCATCAGCATAATAGTGGAAACTAATTCCATGTTTTCTAATAATATTACCAAGGGGGCAGCATGTGTATTGAAAGTAGCAGAGGGCCTAAAACAGACCCTTGCGGCAATCCATAATTTACTGACGTTAATTTGGATAATTCCCTGTTTAAATAAACAAAATGGTAACGGTCTGATAGGTATGATCTAAACCACCTTAATGCTAGCCTGGGAAAACCCAGACAACTTCCGGCAAATTTAGATTTGCTCTGAAAGTTAGTCTGGCAAAGAGCTCATTCAAGCCCATTTCCAATCCGCCGAAATCGAGGCACCAATCAGAAACGTTGGGGCGGGCTTTACACGATGACGACAGCGCTGGGATTTTGAAGCAGATTTTGTAGCCTACATTACAAAGATGGATGCCGCCGTCGAACATCACTCGTTCGAATCAGCTATCGCGTCTGTTTTAAGCGATTTGAACGTTTCCTTTTTGTTAAAAACCGAGCAAAGAACAACACTCGGAGATGTTTCTCCACCGCTCTGCATACGTCATCTCCTTCATCGCTCTGATTGGGTTTAGGTCTATCCGCGACGTCCGTTGGTGACGCCCCTCTGGAAATGATTTGTCTATGACGCTTTGCCAGACTATAACTCAGTTACAACTGAGAATGGTCTGGTTTTAACCAGGCTACCTTAATGCCTGAATACCAGTGTAATTTTGTAATCAATCTAAGAGTATCTCATGATCTCTATAGTGTCAAACGCAGCACTAAGATCAAGTAAAACTAGTATTAAGATTCAACCTTGGTCAGAAGCTAGAAAAAAGTTATTTGTAATTTTAACAAGCACAGTTTCTGGGCTATAATGAATCCTGAATCCTGACTGAAATTTTTCATAAATATTATTTTTTGCAAGAGGGAGCATAATTGAGCAGACACATTTTCTAGTATTTTAGACATAACTAGAAGATTTTAAATGGGTCTGTAATTTGCCCATTCATTTGGATCTAGTTGTGATTTCTTAATGAGAGGCTTAATAGCAGCCAACTTGAAGGGTCTTGGGACATGACCCAGAGTTAGAGATGAGTGATACTGAAGACTAGAGTAATGATGCTGAAAATGCAGCTTTGCCATTACAGAAATAAATTACGATTAACAAACCCAAACTTAAACGGTAGTGTAAAAATGTCCTTAAAAAACGGACCAAAAATATGATTTGAAATAATACATCAGCAAAAGACACGAGAGAGTGAGGTGAAGAAAGCTTGTCAGAGAGATGTGAAAACTTTATTTAGGATACACGAAAGTCCTCTGGCTGTCATGTGGGCTGAATGCTGTCAGGATCCTCTCATCCGCTGCCAAAGCTTATACACACACACACACACATACAAAGCTGACAGCCAGTGAAAGTTCATCCGCGACAGCTACAACAGAAGCAGTATCAGCTGTGACTGTGTGAGCCAAGGTGACATGAGGCCTAACTCTTTCCGTCTCATTCTGGTGTAACATCTAGCTGTCTCTGTGTGTAGGATGGCATATCGTCGGAGTGAGGAGGATGAGGAGGAGGCCGCTCGTGAGCGCAGACGAAGAGCACGTCAGGAGAGAATGCGTGGTAAGGAGAGTGAAGATGTGGCCTACAAACCTGAGACTCCGGAGCTCAACAACAGCCACAGGTAAAACACAGACACGCTCAGGTTTATAAGTACTACATCACTACAAAAAATTATTTTCTTACTCACCCTGCGTCTGAATATGCCTACTTCCATACTATATAGTAGGTGAAAAACAGTATGTGTGCTGAGTTGTATGTCCGAATCGTAGGATTCATAAAACAGGAGGCGAAAAGTACCCGGATGACCTATTATTTCCGGTGAGATGCTGAAGTGCGAATCCGAAGGACACTTTACTATCCCATGAGGCCACAGGAGAGGAGTTGTAGTAAAGCGACGAAATTGAGAACAACATGAGAAATCATTTGACATTTAAGAGGTCTTTATACCAATAAAACATCTCGCAAGTTTCATAAAACGTCCTCTTTATTATAAACAAAGCATTTATAAAATTAAGCTCCGAAACCGGAACATTTTTATATTGCTGGATCTGTGATGTCACACAGGCAAATACATTTGCATATGACTACATTCATTCGCTTAACGGCTGACATTTGCCTACGCTGGATTTGAGCATTGCATTGCGTCAAAAGCAAATAGAACGAAAAAAGCACCACTTCACCGCGGTTGAAGCGGCCAAACTTGGGCCAGGACGACATGAAAAATTACAGGCCAATTTCTCAAATTTCTTTAGTTTCTAAAATTTTTGAAAAAGTTGTGCTGCAGCAACTATTATCATTTTAAAATAAAAACAAAATAGGAGAAATGTTTCAATCAGGGTTTAAAACTGCCCACAGCACCGAGTCGGCGCTATTGAAAGTGTTAAGTGACATCTTTTTGGCCTTAGACAAAGGAGATGATGATGTTTTAGTGCTGCTTGATCTAAGCGCAGCTTTTGATATGATTGACCATGACATTCTTATTTCCCGTCTCGAACACTCAGTAGGCTTAAAAGGCACAGTTTTGAAATGGTTTCAGTTCTACTTGAGTGGTAGATGTTTTTCAGTTAACTATAATGATATGACCTCAGGAAAAAAAAATCTTCCGTGGGGGGTACCGCAAGGGTCTATCCTTTCTCCTAAACTGTTCTCACTGTATTTGCTCCCTTTGGGAAGCAGTTTTGGAAAGTATGGAGTGTCATTTCATTGTTACGCCGACGACACGCAAATGTACCTGCCACTCAGCTCGACTAGTTCATTCGAGTCGCTTTTCGAGATTTAGGCTTTTTAATTGACAATTACCTAAAAATGGACAAGCAAATAAATTCTGTAGTCCGGGCTTGTTTTTACAATCTACGTCTACTAGCTAAAATTAAACCATTCCTATCAAATAAAGACTTTGAGAGAGTTATCCACACTTTTATTTTTTCAAGGCTTGACTTTTGTAATTCGCTGTATTGCGGTATCACCGCCGCATCTCTGTCCCGACTGCAATCGGTACAAAATGCAGCGGGTAGGCTTTTAATGAAAATAAAGAAACATGAGTCGGATCACACCCGCACTGGAGTCTTTTAATTGGCTTCCAGTGCAGTACAGAATAAGATATAAAATTTTACCGTTTGTATATAAATCGCTAAATAATCAGGCCCCACCATATTTGGCGAATCTCTTAACTTTGTATACCCCCTCCAGAAATCTACGCTCAGAGAATCAGGAACTACTGATAGTACCGAGAACAAAATGCCTTCATAAGGGTGATCGGGCATTTGCGGTAACAGGGCCGAGACAATGGAATGAGCTGCCGTTGCCTATCAGGTCTGCAAAATCGCTATCGATTTTTAGGCATTTGTGTAAAGCACATCTGATGTCGTTAGCTTATAATGAGTAGATGTGATATTTTATATGTGATGTATTGACTGGTTGAGGTATGTTGTTATTTTTATCCTTTATTGGAATATGTATGTAAAGCACTTTGGTTCAACCTGGGTTGTGTTTTAACAGTGCTATATAAATAAAACAAACAGAAACAGAACGCATTATAATCACCGACGCTGTCTACACTGGATACAGTATACAGATGCGCATTCAGATTCTGACATTATCCACGCGCTTGAGTCTGTCAGACTAATGGAAGAAGAGTGAAAGAGCGTTTGCTTTGAGTCCAGTTTAAACGGCTCTTTTGATTATCTCTAAAGACTTCAGAAGAATCCAAGCGTCGGAAACAATTCTGTTTTTTTTCTATGTTGCCCGGATCGTGTCCGAGGATTAAATGTTTGTTTGGAGCATTTTGTTTTGTAAACGAGGCACAGTGTAATGCAAAGTTTGCAAATAAACTTTTGAAAGATAAAGAAGCCAACTGTATTGGATCTGACCTGAGCTGCTTCACAAACTGTACTGTAAGTAAATGATTTCATAATGCTTTGTCTGTAAATGACGGTTTTAAATAGGCAATAATTAAATTGGGCAATAGTGAGTGGGCTTTCATACTTTTTCCTATGCAATGACGCTAGCCAATCATAACAGTGGCCGTTTACTGACAAACCTTAAAGGGTAACTAAACCCCTGGTCAGAGCCTGACTCCACCCACTGGCAATATTTGAAAAATGCTGGAAAAGTGGGCGGAGCCCAGCGGAGATGGGGATGAACGGATACTCTTTCCGGATCGTTTTCAATACTCGCAATTCCAACTCCTGACTCGCTACAGTGGTTTTGACGAAACAATGTGGTTTTTATACTGCCATGGGCGTGGTAGCTCGTACCAAGGGCGTGGTAAGCTAAAACCTGCTTACGTCAGCTCTCACTGCTACCGTCACGAACTACCGCAAACATCCAATAGGAAAATTCAACTGCAGTAGTCACCGTTCGACCTGAAGAGGGCAGCACTCAGACGTTTTTACACCATATATTGTAGAATTAAAACACTTTATACCCAAATGTCAAAAAAGTTACTCGAATCAATGAACAGCACTAATAAAGCCCCAGTCTTACAGATCATTAACTAAAAAAAGTTGGTTTAGTGTTTAGTTACCCTTTAAAGAATCTGCCCCTTAAAAACATCATTTTAGACAGACGGTCAGAATTAGGATTGAAAGTAATCGTTTTTCCTCATATATATTTGTTTTTGCAATTTGTTGCAACACACTTTATTAACATTATTATAAGTGAACCTCAAAAATGATGTCATGACCTTTAAGATGTTAAGTCGTGTTTACTGAAAAATGAATCAAAGTGAGTTTGTTTAAAAAAGAAAATAATCTCGTATACGCTTTGAATTAAGTTTTTTTTCGGACCCCACTGACAGATGTTTTTTCTTGTTTTAAGCACAAACTCTTAATTTTGATGACTTTTTCAGAATGCAAGACTTAATATTTGATGTATTTTTTGCCTCTCAAGTAAATGTATCTTTATTTAAGAATTTTAAGGTCATTTTAATGGAAAACAAGACAAATTTTTATGGCAGTGATTGGACAAAAATGTCGATATGTAACTTTTTCTTGCGCCTTCCTTTGTGTCTGTAATCTGCAGCTTTAGTGGGCGGCACTAATAAATAACTTCCTGTAGCGGGTCAGCATTGCGGAAGCAGTGACATGTTCAGACACTGAGGCTTTGTGCAATGAATGGATACAGAAGACGGTCAAACAAGACCAGAATTGTTCTGGATGTGTGACCAGACATAGCTCCATCTATTGTCAGTAGTGCTGACGCAGGGTAAACGTTTGCCAAGTGGTGCAGTCAGACTACATTAACCTACAGTGGCAGGATTATGGCAGTCTATGTCCTTGTGCACGCTGGTTATGCAGCCCTAGAAAAGGAGAAAGGGAGTGCAGATCCACTTTAAACCATAATGAAGTTCCTCGCTATCAATTGAGGTTTTCAATGTTGAGGTTTTGCTATTAAGAAAGCAAATTACGTTCTTTAGGGTTGTAATGTTGTGTAAGGCCTAAATATTAGTTGATTATTTGGCCCCAGTTTTAATGTTGTAGCTCATACAAAATATAAATAGCATGTTATGTTTTATATTTTATGCACTACTGTTCAAAAGTTTCAAAAGTCGGTAAGATTTTGTTTTTTAAATAAGTATCAAGTATCTTACAGTAATATTGTGAAATATTATCATTTTAAATAACTCTTTTCTATTTAAATATATTCTAATTTGAATAATTTCAGCATCATTACTCCAGTCTTCAGTGGAAGAGTTAGGGTTAGGGTTAGATCCTGATGATCCACATGATCCTGCTGAAATCATTCTAATATGTGGATTTTCTGCTCAAGAAATATTTATTATTATCAATGTTAAAAGAGTTGCTGCTTAATATTTGTGTGAAAACTGTGATACTTTTTTTCAGTCTTTTCAGCCACTTTTCTCTCTAGATATTGCAATTGAAAAGCTAATATCCCTCCATCACTAGTAATATACTGTATGTTATATATTGCTGTCTGTATTCTACCTTATTTTCTTCTTGCACTGCCTCTCTCCAGCGTTATGGTGACAGAGAGCGTATCCACCTCAGTGGTGACCTCCAGTGGGACGGGAGAGGACGAGGAGGAACAGGCCCTGCTGGAGCGCCTGGCTAAGAGAGAGGAGCGCAGGCAGAGGAGGATGAAGGAGGCGCTGGACCGACAGGAGGAGGACGACACCAGCCAAACCTCAGAGAGCAGCGCTGGTCTGCGGCCCGGCCCGAGATACGAGGCAGAGGAGGAGCACAACAGCAAGGAGGTGGAGAAGCAGGTGGAAGAGGAGGAGGTCATCCCGAGGGAGGAGGTGGTTGTGGAGGAAAAGCCACGGAGGTCTTATTTGAGAGAACAGGTGTGTATTTCTTTTTGTATGGTTTGTTAGACCACAGGAACTTGCATTTAAGGTTTGTTTATGGCATTTAACTTTGTCTACCTGTAGGAATCCGTTGAGGAAATATCTAAAATACCTGATGAGGTATGATAAGTGTTGTTGTTTTTCCAAAATGGCTTTTTTTTTTTTGTCTCATTTGATGCAACAAAGCATGTGACTGCAGTTCCATTCATAGGACAATAATGAGCAAGATGCTCTGCCTGCTTCCGAAGTACGTGAGGTGATTTTAAATGAAGACGTAAATGATTCTGCTGTTGTTTCGGGGACGGATGTGGAAAATGGCACCGCAGAACTCACTGCAGGTGTACACGAGGAAAAGAGTGAGATAAAGGGATTGACAAAGAATGGAGTGGATGAAATGAGAGAGACAGAAAACGTTGAGAAATATGAGACAGAGATTTCAGAAAATGACGAGTCTTTGGTAAGAGTTTAGTTGTGTTTTGAGGACACTGCATAAGGTTGGATGGTTTAGATTTTGGGTGAGAGATGAATAAAAAAAAGCTTATTCGTAAAGACCTCTTGAAAATCAAAGGTTTTTGAAATTTAGTCTCTGCATGTACTTTGAGGCCTCTATATGCTAGTGACAAACTAACCTTTAGCATATATATGTGTTCAAATAAGTCTTTTACTGCCTTCCTTGATTTCGCGGACTTGCTTACACAATTTCGGCGCTGTCAGGCGGAAACCTTGTATCTCCAAACACGTTACTTTTCGGGAAATGGAGTGTTTTGTCTGTCATTAGAAAGGCTGCATCTGAGGCAGTGCATTACATTTTCATAAACTTACAGGTTATAAAGTTTACTCTAGCTATATGGGCGCACAGTTTTTCTGTCGTGTCATGTTGATCTTCTCATGTCATGAGAAATACTAGACTTCTCCACTCCTCCAATACATAAAACATTATCCTTTATATATGTAGTGTTTCTTGAGTAAAGAAAACACTATACTTTTTCAAACAACCAGTTCTTAATTTACCCTTGTATTGGAAACAAGCAGAGACGGTCCAAACGGTGTGCGGCACTTCATTCAAGATTGCAGCATGAGGTTGAGGTTTAATGGACAGTTTGATGATCCAATGGAGATACGAGGTTAAATCACAAGCTCCTTGGTTACAAATTTAAAAACCCACAGATAGACAATAAAGGGCGAACAATAGTAATGATAAAAAAATTTACAAATAAAATGTGATACGAGGTTTCTGCCCGAAACAAAAAGCCTTTAAATGTCTTTAGCATGTGTTCTGCTATCAACAGAGAGGATCATTTATCATGTTTTGACTCATTGATGCATTTCATTTGCTTAAAGTGAATATGTATCATTAAATGCGTACATGTGCCACCATGTTCTCATGACATCACATGATCTCGCTAAGGTCAGGTTCAAAACATTTCTGCCTGAGTTTCCAAGTTGAATGTCCAACTTCGAGTGCCATTCTTTTGCAATGGGTAGTTGGGAACTTTCTGAGTTGAATGGAGACCATGTTTCTATTTATAGAGAATATTCATGATTTGATTTTGTTCTAACAGGCATTGCCATTTTTCCCATGGAAAAACAATACCTAATACAACCTGCCTCCAGTAGTAAATAGCAAATAGTAGATCTTTAGCTATTTAATAAAAAAAAGGCAAACTCTTCAACCTCCGGTTTCAATTTTAAATATGAAATAATTTCATGGGGTCTTTAATAGCTTTGGATACAAAAGTCAATTCATGTCTTACTATTTTTCAGTGCAGCCATAAAATTTCTTCCCCAAAATCCTAAATCACTCCAGGCACTATTTGAGCACAGTGTGTAGTGTTTTCACCAGCGCACACAAGTATCAGTGCATTTCACAATGCAGGTTTAAAATCTGCTCAATGATCAGCGGTTACACACCGTGTGTTCACTGCTTGCTGCATGTCTATTGGGAGTTGATTGTGTGTGTGAATACACCAACAGCACCCGCATCTCGTTCTTTCAAAACTCTTCCAGCGCTCCGTCTCTCTCTCACGCGCATGCCTGTCACATCCACACATCACTCACTTCTGCTTGTGTGTGTACAGATGGAAGATGAAGATATGATGAGGAAGAATAAACAGCCAAATGGAGGAGTGTGTGAGGACAGCCCTCTCAAACACAAGAAAGCCGAGAGGACTTTCAGGTCAGTGCTCATTAAAAACAATTAATGATTGTGTTAGATTTGGCAGCCTAATGTGTAATGCTTCGTCCAAATTCGCATACTATCCCTCCTAAATAGTATTCGAAATTAGAATTAGTGTCCCAAATCATAGTAGGTTGAAATGAGTATACCAAAGATACCATCCGAAGTGCAGATCCATGCACACTCCAACGGCTCATACTGCCCACAACCCATTGCGCATTGGACTTGGAATCGATTAGAACTACAAACACGAATAAAAAGTGTTAAGAAAAACTACAAAAATGGCGGATGTGTGAGACTGATAGTTAAGTAGAGAGGTTTAGATGAAGGGTTTTGAGTGATTAATAATCCGTATCTAACATGATGAAAATATATTTATTCAATGTTATCCACATTATATTTCATTATGAACTTATAAGGATACATTTGCTCATTCATTTTTAAATGCATCATTATGCAAATACATGAGGAGAGTTACATTTAATAGAATGTTGAGGATTTTAACTATGTAAGTTTCTTTTCTTTTCTAAAGAAATCTCCAAGGATTTGACCAGAACATAAGTGTATCCATAAATTCTTGGAAAACAATCGATACATTTATTTGGGACAAATATAAGCCTTTTCCTTGCACCAATAACCATAATAACAATGAGTCGTTAAAAACTCATCTCTTGTGTGCAAGTACAGGACGTTGAAATAAACCTACAGATAAAATAATCACGTTCCACATGTCTGTTAGTCTGTTTTTGACCTTGTTGAAAAATACATTTCTATGTGTCCAGCTATATTCGGTTCAGAGCTTTGCGTGATGAGGTATTTGACGCTAGTCACCTGATCTGCTGTGTCCTGAGGGCTGTTCTCAGCTGTAACTGGACACTGTGTTACCTTAGACAGGGGTGTGCTGATTCACTAAGTCTGTGTGTGAATAGGTTGGGTTTTCTTTACACGTAAAGAACATGGATGTGTAAAGGTGTTGACAGACCCTTTAACCTGTCCTGTACGAGTGAGAATCTGTTTGTCTGTGCGACAGCCGAGGCAGCTTACGCTCTCCTGAGGCGCCGGAAGTAGACGAGGCAGACGGCGAGGATGCTCGCTTGGAGGCCGAGAGAAAGCTGGAGGAACTGAAGAGGAGGAGAGATGAGATGGAGAGCGAGGAGTTTGAGAGGATGAGGCAGAAACAGCAGGAGGCCGAGGTGGAGCTGGAGGAGCTGAAGAGGAAGAGGGAGGAGAGGAGGAAGGTGCTGGACGAGGAGGAGCGGCAGAGGAAGCAGGAGGAGGCCGAGAGGAAAGCCAGAGAGGAGGTGTGTTCGTTTAACGTCAATGATTCATTTCCTGTTCTGGTAACAGTTTCACTGACGCTGTGGAATTTGCCTCGATTCGCTTTTCTGCAAGCGAAAATCTTGATGAGGGTCCTGTCATCAAAACTAGGTGACTTCTGTAAACACCGCTGTAAAAATGATATGATCAGTAAGTCATGGAAACATATGTTTTTACTAGGGCTGTCAAATGATTAATCACGATTAATCACATCCAAAATAAAAGTTTGTGTTTACATAATATATGTGGGTGCACTGTGTATAATTATTTTGTGTATATATAAATACACACACATGCATGTGTATTTAAGAAAAAAATATTATTTATATATAATATATTTATATATAATATAAATTATATATAAATCTATACACAGTATATACATGAAAATATTTCTTAAATATATACAAGCATGTGTGTGTATTTATATATAAATAAAATAATTATACACAGTGCACCCACATATATTATGTAAACAAAAACTTTTATTTTGGATGTGATTAATCACGATTAATCATTTGACAGCCCTAGTATTTACATTATTTTTACTCTAACTCTAACTATTTCAACTTTTTTTATTAGATATACAAAATTTAGTCAATTTCATATAATTTAAGTTGAGATGACTTGTACAAGTGAATTTAAGGCAGCAACTTGTAGCACATGACCTGTGCTACAAGTAGCATTATATAAACATTCAAGTACATATAATGTATACTTGAATGTTTTCTGGATGTCCTTTGAGAACTGAAACCTCATACAAGTACATATAATGTATATATAAACCATATATACAATAGGTTAAATATACCGTACAGTTCAAAAGAAAGGGGTGAATGAATAAAATTAATACATGTATTCAACAAGGATGCATTAAATTGATCAAAATTAACAGTAAGGGCATTTGAAAATCACTTTTTATTCATCAAAGAATTCTGGGGAAAAAGACTTTTGAACAGTAGTGCATACTACTATATTTTTGTCACATTACTGAAACAAATATTGACAAAAATGGTTGTCTAATAAAAAAAAAAGATAATTTGCCCAGTATTTGTGTGCTGTCTGTATTTTTATGCTTAAAGTATCATGTTGTTAGCTTAGCTTTAACTGTAATTTGATATTAGGCTTTGGTGTGAAATAACTGTTGTATACTCTCTCTCTCTCTCAGTATTGAATAGTTGTAATTCAAATGAATTCCAAATCATTTACACGAACATTAGCGTGATCGCACCCAGTGTGAGTTCCACATGAGTGCACATGAGTTTCAGACTCTGGATCTCTCAGTAGCGGGCAAGAAACACAGCCGTCCCTCCTCGTGGAGGCCCGCTCCTAGCATTGTAATGCAAATATGTTCCTTGTTCCTAATGAACAGAGGCAGTAAATGAAAAAAGGACTAATTAGAGATTAGAGGGCCCCGTGCTGATGCTAGCCGGCCGTGCCAAAAAAACATGGTGTAAACAAAAAGGCTTCTTTATGATTTCTCAGCTGCTGTGGAATGCGGCTGGCTGCCAGTTCACGTTACGCTTCCACAGAGAGACACGCTAGACGCAGTCTTGATTTTTGTTGTTCGTCTCATTATCATTCTCATTTATTGCAAGAAGGACATTGTCTGGGACGTGAAGATCCCAGATCAGTCTGCTGGTGGTGTTTTTGAATGAAGCATGCCAGTGAGGTGATGAACGTGTGTTTATTTTATTCTTCAGGAGGAGAAGAGGAGGATGAAGGAGGAGATAGAGAAAAGAAGAGCGGAGGCGGCTGAGAAAAGGCAGAAAGTGGAGGATTATGTGGATGGAGAGACCAGGAAGCCCTTTAAGTGTGTCAGTCCCAGAGGATCCTCCCTGAAGGTCAGCCGCCACCCTCTCTCTCTCTCTCTCTCTCTCTCTCTCTCTCTCTGTCCACAGCTGTCAATCACCCGACAGTGTCAGCTGACTTGTAGGAACACGCTGTCCCCATGAAAAAAGCAATTATCTGCCATATCTTGTAAACATAATGAGGAGGAGAACAGCTTGATGATTGTGCGTTAATGCAGCTGGTGTTCACTGAAGCATGTCTGTACTAGTTTAAAGGGAATAACCCTTTTGTTACCATTTTCCACCTAAGTACCATAGCTAGCATCAGAAAAGGACATTTAACATGTAAGAGAAAAAAACTTCTGAAAGCTTCTTACACCCTGTTTAAGAGATTTTATATTAATATCATAATTTATATAATGATAACAGTATATTTGAAACATTTTCTAATTCTTAAATAATATTTATGTATTTATAATAATACAAGAATTTATAATATAATGTAATGTAAAGTAATATATAATAACATTTATATAATATAATAAAGTAATATAATATTATGAACCTAAAATATATAATTTTCCTTATACATAAATAATAGAATAGAATGCATCTAAATGTATACTTTCCCTTATAAATGTATAAAAAATATGCATACACTTTCCCTTAAACGGTACATAAATAATAGAATAGAATAGAATGTCCTTACATTTATAAAAAATAATATGCATGTACTAACTACTAGGCAATGTCTATGACAGCTTCCATACTCACTTATTATTTAATAACTATAGTAATTCTGGTATTTTGGCATAATCTGTGCTTACTGTGAGAAATAGCATCAGATGCACATTCTGGAATCTGTGCTGAAAGACTTTCCCTCGTGTTTATCATACGCAGATGATACGTTCACAGATCTGCTTTGTCATCATGTACACTGTATGTATTGCATGCTGTGGATTGTATTTGTGTGATTTTTAACCCCTGTTTTGTGGGTAGTTGGATGAGTTTGATATTGAATGATAGTATCAGCCAGAATACAGGTAATCGATTGTAACAAAATAATAATTGACTTCATATATTTTCGTTATTTCATAACTCGTAATTCATTATTTCAATATCGATATTTGTATCAATGGTGCATTTGACGCCGTGCATCTAATTTCCGAATTATTTTTCTGGTTCTCGCATGCTTTGGATATGGGTTTCCTGCTGTCAGTGGTTTTAAAGTCAGTTCTTTCCTTCTCTTCCCTTTGGAATCCATCTTTTTACAAAAATACAAAATGGCGCGGTAGTGTTTTAGTGTGAGATAAAGCCGAGCTGCTCTCTTCAAGACGTGAACTCTAGGGGGACGCAGGAAGACCATTAGACTAATAGGATTACTGTAACCACATTCTAACGGAGCCGTTTCAAACACGCCTGAGAATGGGGAATTTCCTGCTGAGGAGTATTTTAGGAACTCCCACATTCGGTTGAGGGGGGAAGTGGATTCAAGATACTTTTGGGGTTTGTATGTGTGTTGTCTGTGTGGTTTTTGTTGTTGCTTCACAGGAACACTTTCCCCCCCTCTTAGCCCTGTTGTCATATATCATAAACACAGGCCACGGTTCCCACAGAGAGAGAGAGAGAGCTGAAAAGGGCCCTGCTTTTCCTGGCCTCGTGACAGTTTCATACCGAAAAGAACAGGCTAGTCTCTTGCCTCTCAGAATAGCCAAGTCCGACAGACAGCTCGCATCTGTGTGTGTGTGTGTGTGTGTTTTATGTGTGTGTTCCTCATGACCAAAGCAGTGACCTTTGTTAAATCTATCCATTGTTTGATTTCTCTTCCCAGATCGGTGAGAGGGCAGAATTTCTCAACAGATCAGCACAAAAGAGGTGATCACTTCTACTTTTATTCCTTGCTGACCTTTCATGAAAACATGTTATTCAACCTACCTCCTAAGCACAAATGTGTCCAAAAAATAAGATTAATTACATAAATGAATAATCTGAACTGTTTGGAGTACTTTTGGCTAGGTTAAAAGAAAGTCCTGGTTCCAAAACAAGTTTAGACAGCATTTGTGGCACGTTGTTGATTACCAGACAATTATGTTGACTCGTCCCTCAGTTTGTAAAAACAACTATACATGCAGTGATAGCAGAAATCAACTGTTTACATTCACCCACAGGAATTTTGTCACATAACCAGTCCCAGCCCTAAAAGAACAGTCCAGAAATCTATCTATCTATCTATCTATCTATCTATCTATCTATCTATCTATCTATCTATCTATCTATCTATCTATCTATCTATCTATCTATCTATCTATCTATCTATCTATCTATCTATCTATCTATCTGTCTGTCTGTCTGTCTGTCTGTCTGTCTATCAATCATCTGTCTGTCTGTCTGTCTTTCTGTCAATCTGTCTGTCTGTCAATCATCTGTCTGTCACTGTTCATCTATACATCTGTTTATCTATCTATCTGTCAAATCCATCCAATAATTATTTATGTCACACATGAACTGTTGTGATTTTAATTGGCAGTTAATTTTAATCTGTAATCTTTCATTGTGAAAATGATGCTTATAAATACCAGCATGAGCTAACGTGTGTGTGTGTGTGTGTGTGTGTGTGTGTGTGTGTGTGTGTGTGTGTGTGTGTGTGTGTGTGTGTGTGTGTGTGTGTGTGTGTGTGTGTGTGTGTGTGTGTGTGTGTGTGTGTGTGTGTGTGTGTGTGTGTGTGTGTGTCAGTTCCTTAAAGGCATCTCATGCTCCTGTGGTGTCTAAGATTGATAACAGATTAGAACAGTACACCACCGCAGTGCAGGTGAGTCCTACATCATCGTCTCTCAAACTGAACACAAGCAAAAGATAAATCTATATTAAACACAGGATACCAGAAGACAGCAAAGTGAAATCTCTGCCTTTCGTTTCTGCCTTGCTCTCTCTGGTCAGAGCAACAAGGAGGTCAGATCTCCCAGATCAGCTGCCATAGATCTTCCTATGGTGACAGACGGTATTCGCAACATCAAGAGCATGTGGGAGAAGGGGAATGTCTTCAGCTCTGGTGGAAGCCCAGCGTCAACCAATAAGGTTTGTGATGTTCATTTACATAGACTGATGGGTGGGGGAAGGGACCCCACTTTTTCTCTTGGAACCATTTCCTGTCCATTCTGAACTTTAACCCTAAAGGGAGTTTTTTCTTCCGCCCCGTACAGGATGCAGCTGGGATAAAGGTGGGCGTGGCTGGCCGCATCAACGATTGGTTAAATAAAACTCCAGAGACAGGCAAAATGTCAGGAGGAAGACCCACGGTAAGCCTTTGACCCTGTCCATTACACCCTTGAGTTCTGCTTGCATTAGACCAGAACAAGATGAGTATTGTTGTATGGCACCACCTAGTGGTAATGCTCTACGCAAAGGGAAATAATACTTAGCAGCACTGAACTAAACCAGATGTTTTACAAAACATTAGAAAGAGATTCATGGGAGTTTATGTTAATTTCAGTCATTTGTATACTTTGACTATTTCTGTAATCACATAGAAGGTATTAAAGAGGTGGTGGTATTCAGGCTTACTCATATTTCCTGTCATCATCGCTGACTGGCTGTTTATTTTAAAACTCTGGCTTCAATGTTCAAATATGGATGTAATATAAAAGCATGCTATAAATATATTTAAGTGTACAAATCTCTGTAAACTTAAGAAAAGAAGTCTAGTTAACTGTGCAGTAGTTCAGAGTTTGAACGTCGATATGGGAATTGGGAATCAAAGTACTGAGTTCGTCAGAGTAATTACAGACTGTGACTGGTCTTAGTTAAATGAAGCAAATAATTGTCAAGAACATCTAAATTCAGTCATTATAATTAGTTACAAATGAAATCACAACTGTTTTGGATTTAAAATTTCACCCGTTTACAGAAAAAAAGGAGATACTGTTCATTTGTGTGTACTTTTCCTCGTCCAGGGGGTGGTGCGTTACAGTTTTGCTTTTTAGAAACCAGGATAAGGTTACAGTGGGAGTTTACGCCTCATTTACGAGCGCCCAGAGCGTTAACATAATAGGGCCGACCTTTGACCTGTTGCTCAAGTACAAAACCCACGGGTGCACTCTTATCACAATATCCTTATACTAGTTTTTGTACTAGTACTATTTAATAATGACAGACAATAGACAAAATTGGCTAAAGCATTTTTTTTAAATGCAACTTTTATTGTTGTTCTTGCTGTTTAAATAATTTAATTTTAAGTTTTACATGGTTTAATTGTTCATCTATTAGATAAATTAAAACACTTTACAAAACATCTTCATATCGTTTTTTCACAGGCTGCAGCATTGCTTCATAATTCGTATATTTTTAATGGAAAATAAAATGAATTTACATTGATTTACCTTGAAGTGAATGTATGTCAAGATTTATTTGGAAAAAGAAAACATTTCATATAATGTCATATACATATGTGATCTTTGTCGAGCAGCATTATTTTCTGTCATCAAAATGGTGCACCTCACCTTGGCCTTCACAGTTTTCCTGTCATTCTCTCTTTCTCTTCCACTGTTACTGTAGATTTCCCTTTGCTTCTTCCCCTGGGCTTCTTTCCTCCGCTTTCTCTTCTGCTTTCTCTCTCTCTGCTGAAGATCAGGTATGTCCCTTCCCTCCAAGTATGCTCTCTTGCCTTAAGGACACTGGCATCCGTTATGTCACTACTGTCGGATTGACGTGCATGTACATGTGTTTACATGAGTTGTGAAGTTCAGGGCCATCTCGCGAGTGATATTACACCCCCTTCTCCTCCTGCAGGACCTGAAGCCAGGTGACGTGACCAGCAAACGCAGTCTATGGGAAAACAAAGGGTCCTCTGCTACCAAGGTAACCAAATACAGGTTTTTTCCCCCCCAATCAGCCCAACTATCTCTCTCTCTTAGTTATATATACACATAACATTTTTCATATGCCCCTGGAGAATGAATTAATAAAGCACTTATGTGTCCAAACAACAGGCTGTGGGTATATTATAACCCTTCAGGCATGCCATTATAGGACTCTGGAGACAGTAACAGTCATAACACCACTCTAGCATGATATCTGCAGTATAACATTGCCATAACATTGCCTGTGTGTTTTGTGTTTTAAGCCATCCCCTTGCTAATTGTCTACAGATCTGACCACCTTGAGGAGGTAAATGTTACTTTATCACACAGGAATGCACAGTGTTTGATGAGCCACACTTAATGCATTTATCACAAGATGGCTTAGGAACTGCGATGTCATGCCTTTGGCTTTTTTCGTTTCTTCACGGAGCTTCTCTCACACTCTTGCTCACTGCCACAAGAGCAGGCGGTTGGTTTGCAAGGAGGAGGTGCTTTAAAGGACTGAAGTCACCAGGAGTAACTCCTGTAACACTAATTGACCTTATGTTAAGCTCTGCCCACCTTGGTTACCATTGCTGACTCAGACAAGCATTACATAGGTTCTAATAGGAATGAACTGGATTATGTTCATGAACAGTGAGATTTTTTTTTTTATCAGTAAAATATGCTCATGAAGTGGAAAACAAGCTAATTGCAAAGCATGGTGTATATGCCATTTTTCTGCCCCTTTAAGCAACCACACAACACACCCTTGCAACTCCCTAGCAACCACCCAGGACTCCTTAGCAACTCCCTAGAAACAACAGAATGGCAACAGACCTAGCAACATCCTGGCAGACATCCACAACACCCTAGAATCATGGTAGAAATTTTTGCAAGGGCAAAACTTAAACAAATTAAGTTACAGTTATGTGATAAAAATACTGTGAAACAGAATCTAGATAAATGCTTATGACAGTAAACTTAAAAAAGACAAAGGCCTCTTTTGATGGCAAGTTGTAACGTTTTGGTTGAAGCAGAGGAGGAAGCAGGATCCAAGTCTTTTATTAAATAAACTCAAAACTTCACAAATACAAACTCGGGTAAAGAACAACCGCCAAAGTGCAACGATAAGAACTGACAAAGACTGAACTAAACACAGACAGACAAGCTTAAAGGAGAACTCTGGCGCAAAATGAACCTTTGGTCTAATAAAACATTGGTACCTAGTCAACCGTTCTCTGAGATTTGTTTTCATGATAATCGAATGTAAAAAGTTTTATCTCTAAAAACTGTTTAGCGTATAACGCTAGTAATGGGGGCATTTAATAAGCAAAAAGAAATCGCTAGTTAATACCCAGTGTTGGGGAGTAGTTAACTACAAGTAGCGACGCTACTAACTTAACTATATTTTTCAGTAGCTTGGCAGTAGCTCAGTTGCTTTTTAAACAGTGTAGCTTTTCCAGTAGCTAACTACTTTTTGCAGCAAGTAGTGGTGTAGCGCGAGCAAAAGCTACATTGCGTTTTGTCGAGCCTGCGCGAATAAGCGCGATGCAAGGATATTCTTGCATCCAATTTTTTGCCATTACCGCCACCTGTTGTTTAATCACGCATCTTGCGGCTAACGGTTCACTGACGCACAGAAGTGGGTTGACAGCCCATGATGGAGCAAGACGTGGCCAATATTATATTTGGAGGATGGAGAAACAACTAACGTTAATTACCCATGGCCTTATTTGTCCAAGTTCATGTCTCTCAAAGAAACGACAAGTAAAGGTTACACTTTTGTATGCAATCTTTGCAAACCAAAGTTTAAAACGCTGTCTACATCGAAGACCTCAAGCACAAATTTAAGGACGCACATACAGTAATGGTCATTTTAAATGTATTAATTATCCTGCTTTATTGCTCTCTATGTTACATCAAATTTCTATTTCTGATTTAATTACCATGACCCGCCATGATCTGTCCGCCAGTTTGGTAATGAACATAAAAGACTACTAACGTTTGCGCCATTTGTCAGTTGAACAAAAAATGTAATCTTAGTTTGTTTATCGGACGACAAAGGCTTTGATCTAATTAAATTGCTGTATAGATTTGTTGTGACTGGTTTCAGGGCGAATTGTTTTAAACACTACATATTTTACTTAAAACATTCCTCTGACACTTATTCAGTTATTTATAATATACGTTGTTCAAAAAAAGCAAAAGTAGTTTCAATGTAGCTAGCTACTTTTTGATAGTAACTTGTAGTGTAGCTAACTACTTTTCCAAAAGTGTAGCTTGACTGTAGTTTAACTACTTTAACTTGCGAGTAGCTTGTAGCTTGTCAAACTACAGTTTCAGAGTAGCTTCCCCAACACTGTTAATACCACTAACAAGGCTCAAAATAGCCCCACACGAACACAGTAACATAATGAGGGTCCCTACATGCAAAACGAAGCATTGAGAACTTTGTAAGTGTACAGACCGTTTAATAAGAAGATATTTTATGAAGACAGTCCACTTCGTGTATACAGACAGGAGCCATCTTTGGAAAACAGTCTCGACTAGTCAAACCACGAACGCCATTCATACAGTTCAGCTCACTTAGCACGTCGTTCGTGGTTTGTGTCTGTATGGCTCCTGTCTGTATACACGAAGTGGACTGTCTTTATCTTTATCTTCTTATTAAACGGTCTGTACACTTACAAAGTTCTCAATGCTTCGTTTTGCATGTAGGGACCCTCATTATGTTACTGTGTTCGTGTGGGGCTATTTTGAGCCTTGTTAGTGGTATTAACTAGCGATTACTTTTTACTTATTAAATGCCCCCATTACTAGCGTTATACGCTAAACAGTTTTTAGGGACACAACTCTTTACATTCGATTATCATGAAAACAAATCTCAGAGAATGGTTGACTAGGTACCAATGTTTTATTAGACCAAAGGTTCATTTTGCGCCGGAGTTCTCCTTTAATAAGATAACAAGGGGACGTGGCTAATAAGAAACACCTGGGGAGACTAATCAACATTAAACATAACAAGCGACTGCAAAACATGGAACAAGACTGGGGAACACAGGTTGTAAACATCACGCAAGTGATAACTTTACTACAACATACTCACCATGGTACTGTGAACTCAGTCACGATTGCATTTGAATCAATATGTAAATGAATTAACATTGATTTACCTTGGAGCGAATGTAGGTCACAATTAATTTGGAATAGGAAAACTACTGTGTAGCTTGTGTCACTCTTACAGTAGAAGTGACTTGCCATTATTTAATAATAAAATGTAAAAAAGGACATTAAAGAGCAAAAGCTTGTCTGATAATATGCTGGTTGGTAATTAGGGCGGAGCTTAGCGAAGGATCGTTTCACCTTCCCTCTCTCTTTCATTCGTTCTTTTTTTTTACCATCACCCCTTTACAAAGGACTCTGCCTATTGTGAAAAGATCTATTTTAATGCTGGCATGACTGGGATGCAGTTGACCAAACATGGCGGTTTATTCACATCACGAATAGAAACCAATTCCTGACGATCCCATCGTCTGAACTTGAAAAGGCATTCCCACGAGCGCTGGCCTTCATATTTTTATATCCACAGATCAAACAGATAATAACGGTAGTCATTCAGAGCGGGTGGCTCTATCTTTGGAACGGGCACAATAGAATCTTCTGCTGGACTGTCAGCGAGGCGTCAAGATCAGGCCAAGGCCGCGGTTTGCCACAGATTGCAGTTTTGCCCCAGAGCACTTAAAGGACTGGTAAATGGTGACGTAAAAAGCCTAATGAAGGGAAATCTGTGGTCATAACCGCACTGATGTGACCAAAACCAGCAGTGCAGTTTGGTCAGGAGTGGAAAGAATGAGGGTTTCACTTGTATGTGAATCTGGAAAAAGAGTGCTGTTTGAAACCATGCTAAGCATGTTCCTGTCACTGTACACGCAGCATGTCGGCCACAAGTGCTTTCACTGATGACTTTTTGGAGCACATCGGCACAAAAAAAACATGTTAAAAAGGAAATGTAAAATGAAATGTGAAGGCATAAGTGGAATACCAGACGGATGGGCTGGGAGGGACTCTGCCACACTGATTAGCACATTAGCTTTTATTTATGTTAATCTCATTCTGTCTTTTTCTCTGTTTCTTTCTCTTTCTCTCTTTTTCCATCTTTCTTTTTGATTTATACCTCACCCAGGACGCAAGCAGAGGAGAGACCAAATCCGTCACCAATGGTAAGTGACAAGAAGATAAATTGTATTTGTGTAAAACCGTGTCCCATTTCCATTTTCCAACAAAAAGCAATTTGTCAACCAGTAACTGCTGCGCAATGTGACTCAATCACAGGCAATTAGAATGTATTTGATGCATCAAACACGTCTATTAAGAGCAAGGTTTTGGACAATAAGATTACACAGTGGGCGGGGCTACCAAGTGTTATGCCACCAAAATGGACCCTTTTTTGGACCCGTTTTGTAACATAATCAATCTCTCTATATTTTTTCCTCTTTTGTGAGGTCATAGAAACGCTATTGTGGATTTTTTTTTTCTTTTGGTACTGGAGCAAACGGGAACACAAAAATTATATTTGTTGTAGCTACCGTTCAACACTTTTTCAACACAGTTTTCCCAACTATGACGATTTCTGCTTCTGAAAACAGTGTGAAACAACCAAGCGATCGTCAAGATGGCCCGGTGGCACAGTTGTGGCTAGATTGGGGGAAAAAATTGTGGATTTACTTGAAAGAGATTTTGCTTTTAGGGTTTAGATAACAAATAACAAAAAAAAAAAATAATAATAGGTTGGTTAGCACACAGTGTACGTTTTATTGTGCATGTGTGTTTGCAATATAGTTGTTTCTTTTGCCTATACATCCAAGCCAACATGAGGTCAAAGTCCTACAGTGAAGGGCAGGTCTCTCCATATTGCACAACACCCACAATCCCTCTGGCAGGAAGCCCTTCCAATGATAAATCATAGCTGCAGGCACGTCGTTCCCTGGCTGAAGTCTTTTAAAATGCCTCTTTGGCATTGTTTTCTATTTTGAATGCCGGCCATTTGTTCCTCTAAAAGAGACGCGGTGGCCTTCGGGCGTGCCAGGCGTTTTTTGGGTAATGGGCGACAGGCCCTCTCACCCACGTCGGCCTGCTCGTCTCAATATCACACTGTGGATTATGGGCGTCTGTCAGTGCCAGCAGGGCTAAAGCTGCATGTTTGTCACATTACTGCATGGAGCGGCAGATTAGCATGAAAACTTACGTCCTTCCAACCACTTAAAAATGGTCAAACACATGGCCAGCTTGCATTTAAGAGATGTTTTTTAACTATATTTAGCTCTGGAGGAGAAGAGAAAGGGTGTATGTTACAAATACACACAGCTAAGCATACAAAGATTTTGAATTGTCCCATAATCTCGGCTGAATGAAAAGCGTAACAAACATTTAACCCTTCTTCTAAGGGGCAAAAATGTGGCCCAGATTCCATAAATAACATGCAGTAATCATCTTTAAACATGTTGGACAATAATCATTTTATAAATTTAATTTTGGGTCAAATTTGACATACTTGAGATCTACTTATTTCAAGGGTTCTATATGAATTACAACAAGGCTGCATTTTTTTTTTATTAAAAATAAATACAGTAAAAACTGAAATATTGTGGGAAAAAGTATTACAATTTAAAATAACCATTTTCTGTTTAATATATTTTTATGGGTTTTTTTAGCATCATTACTCCAGTCTTCAGTGTCACATGATCCTTCAGAAGTCCTTCTAATATGCTGATTTGCTGCTCAAGAGACATTTCTTATTATTGTTGTTGAAAACAGTGCTTATGCTTAATATGTTTGTGTAAACTATGATGCTTATTTTTTCTGGACTGTGGTGATTAGAAAGTTCAAATTTATTTAAAATAGAAATATTATAAATGTCTTTGTCACTTTTATCAACTTAATCCATCCTTGCCGTATAAAAGTCTTAATTTTTAATTTAATTTTAAAAAAATCTTTTTTTGAAACGTACTGACCACAAACAACCTAGTAAAAATTTGAATTAAAGTGTGTGTCATCTCATTTATTTTCAAGCAATGTTATGACTTTTCTCTTTTGTCTCTTAACAGGAACGGGCCATTAACCTTTCAAAGACGCCAGAGAGGCAGGGACCAAGAGAATGCACAACATTCCTTTTTAAACTTTTATTAATACCAAAAAAAAAAAAAAAAAACACACACACACAAGCATTTTATACTGTCAGGAAGATCTGTGTGTAGACACGGTATAAAAGAGAAAAATGTAAAAATATATATAAATATATTTTTTATCACTGTATTCACAGGCCACCATCTTGCACCATCATAACACAAACGCAGTTGCGTGTACCTTCTGTTAAACTGAAATCTGTGAAAACGAGCGATTACGACTCTCATTTGTTAAGATTATAACAATTATATAACCGCTCAAAACATTACAAGATTCCTTGCATAGGAGGACGAGGAGTAGCATTCCGAATTGTCTTTTGTCAAATCACAAAGCATATTAAGCATGTTATTTACCCTTCTCACCTGTTAATTTATAACTAAAGCAAAGCTTCACCCTGCATTTCATACATGTTCGCCAGTTCCAGACCGAATATGAGCACCTGTAGAGTAGCTGTATTTTGTAGGCCTACTTTTTTTTTCATAACGACACTTAAAAAAAAAAAAAAAAAAAAAAACACAAAAAATTGTCTTAATAATATATGTTAGCATATAGTGTAAGTTTTTGTAATTAACTATATATTTTACTGCTTGATACAAAATGGTCTTTGCTTTTGCTTTCAATAGTATTTTATATCAAAGCAAGTTTTAATTCAGCAGAAGTCCATTATAGTCCTACCGTTATCATTATTACATTATCTTTGGCTTTTTGTACTCTTGGAAACACTGGTCTGAAGTTGTTTGTGACCATCTTTTTGTAAGTGTTAATCACTATGTGTCATGTGGAATAATCGGTATTGGTTGAAACAAGAGAACTCGAAAGAAAGGGAACATGCACTTTTTGGCTTAAATCACACATTTCACAATTTCTGCATATAATGCAAGACCTTGGTTAATCCAAAAACACATCCTGATTTCAGCAAGGAAAAAGAGGACAAGCATATAGTCAAAGTTAATTGATGTTTATAAGCGTTTCATTTTTTGAGTGTCTTCTTTCTGTGCTGCAATTGATTCATACTAAATTGCAGCATAGATGTTGTTTGCTTTCAATACAGCGCTAGTTGGCAGAACATTAGTAACTTCATCATTTAAACGTCATCATTTCTGAATATCCAGTTCTACGCGCTGTAGCTGAACGCTAATGTCTCTAAAAGTTCCTGTATTCTGCTTGTATTTTTTGACAATCAAGTTTTTTACTATTTGTTTCATCTTTGTAAGCACCTATGTATTGTTTCAGAGTAACACTATGCAAGTCGCACCACCTTTAAATGCAATTACCTTGTTACAAATATGACCATTTGTAGCCAATAGTTCCATACAGAGCAACATTGTATCATTGTCTCAGTGACCACAATAAAGAGACCAATGAAAAACACCTGTGATATATGTGTGCTTCTCAATACTCCACCAGACTGCTATGCTAAAGCCATATATCTCTGTCATGCTCCACTACCTCTAACAATAGGCTAAGTTCCAGCAGCCAATCAGAGCAAAGCAGTGTGGTCACATGATCTGGCAGGTCTGTATTAGGTGAGCTTTGGGTTAGTTTGAAACTGTCTGCTGCCTGGACTATCGAGATAAGACTCCCATCTCTCTCTCTCTCTCTCTCTCTCTCTCTCTCTCTCTCTCTCTCTTCTTGGTGAGATCTCAGGTAAGAGGCTTCAGATTTTGTTATTGGATCCAAATGACATTAGTTAATTTGTTACTAAAATCTACTCAAACAATTGCATGCCTACCGGATTAAATTGATTCTGCAAAGTTGCTCATAATGTGTGAACTCAGGCCTGAGGATCACCCTCTTCATTCCTCAGTCATCAATGCAATGCTTGTCTTGTTCGCCAGAGGGACTGGTGGTTTGCGTGCTTTGGGTTTTTCTCTTAATGCTGCTTAATACAGACTATCAATGGCAACATTCCTGCCACCGTCGGTCTGTGACACTCCAGCCTTTTAGAAGGAGTACGACTGGCCCTCGCTTATTAACGTAAAATGCAAGTAACTCCAAAGTGAGACAGTTAATCTGCTTCAAAGACTTGGTGGATTTGGTCAGAGAAGCTGCGCTCAGTCCTCTGGCTGACTCTCTCATTATCACAAGGACTCAATGTAAGATAAACCTTTATCCATGATGATCTCTGTGAAGAGCCATTCGTTTGAGGACCCTCAGACAAGATAGTCTGAAGACCCCTTACAGATGTTGAGTGAAAATAAGACATGACTACAATTGGATAACCTACAGACCTTTGAGCTTTCAGGAGCTATGGTTACTTTAATATGTAACGATTTCATTGCAATAAAAGCAAAAACCAAACCAAGTGGTGTCAAATGTTGCCAAAGCATAACTAAATTAACTTTTTTAAGCTTTTTTTTTTTTTTTACCAACCGTTTTCAATCAGGTGGTAATTTTTTTTCTGGGTTTTGTGGGTGTATGAAGTCGGTTCTCCTCAATTTCACAGGTGTTATTCATGACATTAACTATCAACATGTTCCAATTTATGTCTCAATTTTGAACATATGGGTTTTTTTTCTAAAGATGAAATACTCCAAGGCACTCGTGTGGTGAAATTAAAAAGCCTTTAATTAACAGGGCTAAATCATTCAAATCATTTAAAAGTTTAAGTGTATCTGTTTATTTTATTTTATTTAAAACCTCAGCAAACGTTATTTTTTAATATGTTTTGCTTGAAAAGTGCTTGTGTGTTACCGGTATATTACATTTACAACAATCAACAGTGTACTCTTCACAACAAAGATACCAAAAGTGGGTTTTCGCAGCAATGAAGAACCATTTTTCAGAAAGCATTTTAAAGAACATTTTAATAATCCAATAAGAACCTTTTTCCGACTTCATGAAGAAACTTTTGTTGAATGGAAGGGTTCCATTGATATTAAAGGTTCTTCATGGAACCATTGATGCTAATAAAGAACCTTGTTTTTAAGTAATATTTCATATACCCTTTAGGGCCAGTGCACATACTGTAATCATATGAGTTGCATTAAAAAAACTAGATGGCTCTTTAATGTCAATAGGTGCTGTGGAATAATATCCCGCACAAACAATGTTCTTTAAAAATAGATGACAAGGACACATGCACTCTTGATTTACTCGGAGAATGAGCGGCAGCCCTTGATGAGACCAGCCAATTCATTGTCTGGAAAAGTGTGGAGCACCTGTTCCAAACCGCATAGTTTATTACTGGCAAAAATAGCCACCCTCACTCATTCATCACATGTTTATTGTGCAGTGATTTATTTCCTGGTGGACACACACGTCTGCAGCTCTTTCAACGCATGTTAAGCACGGTATATAAAACCTATATGGTCCAACGATGTTGGACATAATGTTTGTCTCTGGGATCAGGGTCACTTGTAGAAGAATTTTAAAGATGATTTGTAGACCATGTCAAGACTGTTCTGCTGTTAGTAAAAGAAGTGGAAATTAATTGAACTCATTTGACATGCATAACTTAAACTTATTTACTTCATCAGGAATCACTTAGTCATGGCTGACTCAGAGGAAGTGGTGGAGGAGGAAGTACAGTACGTATAACGTTATTACTTTTTAACTGTTTTAATTCATTTACGTATATTCCGAACACTGAATACCTCAAACTATAGACTATACTAAAATAGTAATTGAAACAGCAGGGTACAGTAGTGGCTAAAAGTGATGTCTGGCCTAGGAAAATGTACATTTTTTAAACATATAAAATAAAACTTGTAGCTGTAGTTTGCCCTTTTGCCAAATAATTTAACCAATATATAGCACATTAGCACATACTGTGTACTGCATAAATAGTGAATACTATAACTAACACAACGTGCATTTTTCATATCTATCTTAATGTCATGTGTCATCTTTTTAATTCATTACCCAACTTAAGGTCAACCGTTTTTTTCCTTTTTCTTTTCGTCTTCTCTGTGCGTATGTTATAGGGAAGGTAAGCCAGTTTGAGATTCATGCACTATCACTTATTCTGTCTTCATGGAAATGGAGGCTGGTCCAGAGGATGTTTTGCGTGCTGTCAGCTTGTGTGCATGTGCTATTTTAGAAACTTTAGGTACCCAAGAATCGCTTTTGTCCTCGGCTATATACATGCCCATTACAATTAAGTTACTCGATATTAATATCAGTAGGCCAATGTGCAGGGTGACATTGTTGCATCAAGTCAAGTATGTGAATGTCCTGCCCATGTACATTTCCTATTGTCTCAGATGTCAGTCCCCCCATCCGTCTCTTGTGTGCTGTCCATAACGGTCCGTGAATGTAAAATGTAATGCTTGTTGTCTGCAAGTACTGTGGCTCATTGGAAAAACGTAGCCTACCTCGTTTCATGACTCTTTAAAAGTGAAATATTCAGTGCGTGGCGCTAAAATCTGAAACAGATTAACGTGACAGATTAAGTTATACAAGATTCAACTTTTTTTTTTAAGTCAGTTTAATGTAATTTAAGTTGAAATGACTTAAACATCCAAATTGTACTTAAAAATTGAAAGTAGCAACTTTTTTTTTACAGTGAAGTAGAAGCATGTTTTCCCGATGAGCCTGAGTTGATTTATGCCGTCGTTAAAATGATCATGTAAAAATCATGTCAAATTCATTTAACGCATCATTTGGTCCATGCTCACATGCAAATTGCATCATAGGCTACTGCATTGGTGGTCTATGTACTATTTCTCAATGTCATTTACAAGCTGTTGGGTGGATCTCAATGTTCTGACAAAGGTTATAGATGATCTGTTTGTTAACTTGATTCAGCATCTTGATTATGCAAAGACTGATCAAATATTATGCTTCTGAATGTATTTGCTACTAATAGTTATTATGTTCACACTGTAGTGGAGGAAACCGAAGAGGAAGGTAAACCCGTGTTCAGTGTGTTGTGTTGCTTTTCCTGCATGAGAATACATTTTAAAATTAACTTCAAAATATTTTAGATTTAGATATTAATACAACATATGTGGCTTAAAACAAAGTCAGTTTCATGCTGCAGACTAGAGTCTTTCACACACATGCATGCAGATATTTCAGTTTATTCTCACAGTTAATTCGTTCATTTACTCATCTTCATTTGTGCAATTATTTCTTCCTTCCTTCTTGCATTCATTTGTTCTGTCACTCCCCCTCTTGAAGTGGAAGGTAAAATTTTCAAACTTACTTAGCAATGATTGCATTCATTAATTTGTGCACCCATTATTGAATTGTTCATTCACCTTTTTATTGTTTTAGTGATATATCACTTCAGCAGTAAATTCACCTTTTCATATAATTGAAAACAAAAGCTAGCATATCTTCATACAAATAAACTTGCATGATATTGAAATTGCATTACTGTAGCCTTTCCATAATAATGGTTTCTCTTCAATAGTGGCGCCTCCATCAGAGGAAGGTAATGCATCTGACCTTTATTTTGTGGTCATTTTCTGTACATTCACCATCATTAATGCAAGGTAATATTTCATATTTCATGTTATATTTTCATATTAGAACCAGCCCCTGAGGTGGAAGGTAATCATTCCCTCATTTGAGTGTTAATACAGTTATAAATGTTTTATGATTTTAAAATAATATCATAGTAACAGTAGTCAGCTATCTTTAAACCACTGGATCAACACATATATATCTATGTGCGTAATACAAAATTCATTAATTTTAGTACTCACCATCTGAACCAAGACCTGCATTCAGGCAACTCAAGTTCAATTCATTTGCTAAGAGAATCTCTTGCCATAAACTAAAATTTTATTTCTCCAAATTCCATGTCTTTTATCAAAAAATGAATGTTTTGTCAGTCAGAATATCTGTTCCTGAATTGCAGATCTTAGTAGTTCTGTTATGGTATTTTTTTATAATTTTCTCAAACTACTAGTCTTTATAAACTAACTGATTTGCTGTTCTTATATTAGAGCCTCCGGAAGTAGAAGGTAATCATTTCAGTTGTTAAGAATATTGAGGTTATTCATACTTTATAATGTACAAGTGTCTGTAAATTTTCATTCTTTAACCACTTATAACTTATCTCATATCTGAACAACAGAGGAGCCAGAACCTGAACCAGAAGGTAAAGCTCTTCAGCTTTTATGAACCAAACATTCAGCAAGAATTTCCAAGACATTGCGTTTCTAATTTTTTTGGCACTTTGCAGCTGATTTTGTAATAGCATGGTCTCAAGGAGGATTGACGGGTTGTTTAGTGTGTGTGATGTGAGCAGCACTGGGTGGCCAGCGCCATCAGTTCAGTTACATGTAAATCTCACTGGCCAAAATCATGTCTTCATGATGGACAGCACATTTTCTTGTAAACTGATTCAAAATGTGATGATCGATAGTGATCTGAATCAAGTGTTTACCATGATTACAACTGCATGATGTCTCATTGTGAAGGCTGGAGGACAAAAACTGTTTATTTGTAAGGTTCGTATGTCGTTATGCAATATATCAGCTAATTGAAATCGCATGTGTGATGATTGTGACTGTCAGAACATTGGGGCGTCACGTTCAGCCGGGCATTTGTTACAAAATCAAAACATTTCTTTTGTTCTAACAACTTAAAAATGTGTCAATGCAATTAGTCTTAATGTGAAATTTTGTCTGTTCGTTTTTCATTCTTCACCTAACAGAAGCCCCTGTAGAGGAGGAGGCCGCAGGTAACTGCTTCTAAAATCACACATTCGGTTTGGTCGATTCCCTCCAAGGTTGACGTGAAGTACTTTGCGTGACATATTATTTTTTATATTTTATCCCCAGATGAGACAAAACCAAAGCCGAAGTATGTCCTATGTTGACATCTTTCTTACTGTGTTTATCTGCATAAATTCATACGTGAAGAATGCACAGCGTCAGTCCTCATGGGTAACACTCATTTTGCAGATTCATGCCCAACATCACTGCTCCAAAGATTCCTGAAGGAGATAAGGTGGACTTTGATGTGAGTGACATGAAGTTTAAATGACATCACTTCCTGTATTCGCTTCAAAGTGTTGGAATGGAATATTATAGTGTCTTGTTTTGTAAACCTGCACATTAGGAATGATATATATTTTCAACAGTAGCCTATGGCGTTTTCATATTCGAACCATGTGACTTTATTGTGAGAATGTATAGACCTTATGTAGCCACGCCCCTTTTCCACGCTGAGCTCATTGTCTTTTGACTTCCGGTCTGTATTTTCACAGCGATCTTGCCTAGTTATGAATGAAAAAATTCGGCTCGGTAAAAAAGATTCCCAAGGTCCATTTGTTAAGACTTTATGCTTTACAATGCTTATCATAAACATTACAATGCTCATGATAACTTTCGTTAACTCTACAATAAGTAAATCAACTTCACCAGCTTATTACTCCTGGACAGCGATGCCATGGAAATATACAGAGCGACCGCAAAAACGGAAGTTCAAAGACAATATTCTTAAGATGGCGGCGCCCTCGTTTCTCTGGTGCATAAGGTCTATAATTCTGCAATTATAATGTTTAGAGAACATTCAGAAAACGTTTTCATAACTCGTAGAACATATTTTGCTAGCTGGGTGAACGGTCATCCACAATTTGCAAAATAAGCACACTTAACGTATGTTATTGTGAATATTAGATTAATGTCAATCGTGTGTGTGTGTGTGTAATAGGACATCCACAGGAAGCGTCAGGAGAAGGATTTATCTGAGCTTCAGTCTCTGATTGAGGCTCATTTTATCCAGAGGAAGAAAGATGAAGAGGAGCTGATCGCTCTGGTCAACAGAATCGTAGGTTCTGCATAATCTGGAAGAACAGTCTAATTGTATTAGACTTCAGAATTGTATTACACAGCTTTAAATGCTAAAAAAAGAAAAAAACATTCAGTCTTCACTTGTGATTGACAGTGTTGTGTCTGTCTGGTGCTGTGTGCAGGAGAAGCGTCGCACAGAGAGAGCAGAGCAGCAGAGAGTCCGTTCAGACAAGGAGAAGGAGAGACAAGCCCGCCTGGCCGTGAGTGACACTCCCTTCAGCCAATAGGAAGCAGCCGTTTACCTCCACGAGGCTAAGTGCTAGAATAGAAATAGAGGAAACAAGTCCAACTCTTTCCATCGGATCTCTCAACAGGAAGAAAAGGAGAGAAGAGAGCTAGAGGAACAGAGGAAGAAACAAGATGAAGATGCCAAGAAGAAGAAAGCTCTAACCAACATGACACACCAGTACGGAGGAATCCAGCAGAAGGTTTGAATAAAGAGATATCTAGGAAACTAGACATTTTTATATTTGATCCCAAAAACTTCATGGAAAAGGGGAACCTAGGTATATTAAACCTAAGATAAGATGCATGTGAAAGTATGCATTCCCACAGAAAGATTCTGCTTCTCTTTCACTCTGAATCAAACACCATCATTTATGTCTCGCAGGGCGAGGGTCGCAAAGGGGCGAAGAAACAGACGGAGAGAGAGAAGAAGAAGAAGATCCTGGCGGATAGGAGGAAGCCAATCAACATCGATCATCTGTCTGAAGATAAACTGAAGTAAGTCACCGCTGAACATGATCTCATCACAGTTGGCGTAAACGGCCACTGACGAAGCTTCTGATTGGTTCTCGCAGAGAGAAGGCCAGCGAGCTCTGGCAGTGGATGATGCAGCTGGAGGCCGAGAAGTTCGACCTCGGCGAGAAACTGAAGAGGCAGAAATATGACGTAAGTGTTCACGTAATCAACACAGAAAGCATAGCATAAATGTTTAGAAAATTACAGTCAATATGGGATTCGTATATTTCATTTTTGTTGCAAACATCATCATAACAATTTAATTTTGCCATATTGCCTTAATTTCAAGAAAACTGTTTCTTTATGTATGTTGGTATCAGCTTTTTAGCTCAAGTGTACAGAAAGTAGATACAATATCATTCAAAATTGTTAAGTTTGACTCGACGTAAATCACTTAGTCAACCTGAAAACAACTTTTTTATATATACTTTTAATACACATTATTATTGTTATTAACAATTGGTCATCCCTTTAAAAATTACATCAAGCCCTGCCATACACTGAAAAAAAAGATTTTTTGAAGTTTTAAATAAATCAAACATTTCTTAGTTTGTTTCACAAAAAAATACTACTTTTAAGTAAACTTTAATGTTTAATTTAACATTTCTTTCTAATTAATGGTGAAATTTACCAGCAATTAAAATTGTTTCTACAATATTTTTTTTAGTATATAGAAGTCACCCTATAAATTAAATCAAGTCCCAACTTACACTTTTTTTCTTGATAAATATCTGTCATATTCACATTACGGAAGATGTTTATGTTGACTTTAAGGCCTGGTACACCTGGTATTAAGAAGCGTTTTTGTAAGTCCGATTGCGAGCGGACAACACTAAATACAGGTGTAAACAGAGTCTAAAATGTTTTAAGCTTGTCCACTTTCGACCACTTCCAGAGGTAGTCGAAAACACATTCGACCGGATTGCTTTCGTAGTGTAAACGCTCATGTGGTCAAATGTGTTCAAACAGCCACAAAAGACTCTCCGCCTACTGACCTCATGAGTAAACATTATGGGAAGCGCTCTAGATGGGATTTAAACTTTGGTAAAAGTTTGGTTTGAAGACAAAACCTCACCAAACACAATGTTTTCTCTGCATTCCTGATTTCTAACACACACACACACACACACTCTTGTGGCTGTCAGTGCAGAACTGAAAGCTGCTGCTCTCCGTGTGTTTCTCCGTCGCCTCCTTTCACGCTCATGTAAACTGCGTGAGCTTATTTCGTCCATTAGATCGGAAAATCGGGGGAAAAAAACTACATTTACCCACCCATAGACCCTCCCCTCGAAGAAATCAGGACAAAAGTGGTTGAAAATGGACAAAAGAGATAGATTAAAACAACAGGTGTGAACGGGAATGTGTCTTTCTCTTCTACTTGTGATCCGATCGGCCAAAACTAATCTTAATACCAGATGAAAACGGGGCCTAAAAGACTGGCGCTGTGATAAACTGCCGTCTATGGCCTACCTGTCTTAAACTGTGACTTGCTTCCAGATGAATGTTCTCCAGACCCGAGTCAATGAACAACAGAAGTTGTAAGTAACTGGCTGTGAGGGCGGCCACCTCACTGTTGTGTAGCCTGCTGTCAGTAACTGTTGTGGGTCAGATTTGTGTCGGGTCTGGGCTCTCGGTCGCTCGGTCGGTCGGTGAAGGCAGGTGACGTGCTTGCGGCTGCAATCAGGCTGCGAATCCACAGGTTTTCCCCCATCAGCTGGTCCTGTTGATATTGTCTTTTGTGCTTAGCAAGGCCTCCGTATGTGTTCCTTACAGATCACTCAGCTACTGGCTAGAGTCAAAGATCACCAGAGGTAAGTACCCTGAGCCACACTGGTCACTTTCCCTTGGTTTCAATGAGGTCTGGCTCAGAGGAAGTGATGCTGTTAAAGGCATAGTTTACCCCACAAAATTAAATTCTCACATCATTTACTCACCCTCACCCTCACGCCATGACTTCCTATCTTCAGATAACAAAAATGAATTTTTTTAGGAAAATAAGCCACCTCTGTTACCCCTTTTCCACCAAAGCATTTTGAGAGCCGGTTCGGAGCCGGTGCCTACTCGAGAACCAGTTCTTTGTGTTTCGACAGCCAAAGAACCGGTTCTCGGCCAGGAAAATTGGTTCCAAAGCGGCACCAACTCTTTGCTGGACTAGAACCGTTCTTTTACCACGTCATGCTTACGTCGGGGGCTGGGGGCGGGTTACTGTGAACAACAACACGACGGGAATGGGAAAGCTAAGACGTATGGCCAGTTCTTTTTTGGTGGAAACGAGGTATGCGAGTCCATTGAATGGGTGCCGCTTGTTTGATTCGTGGAAAAACCACACACATTGATAGACATGGTAATCCATACGACCACAGTGGATGAATCAATGTCTTCTGAAGCCAAACTATAGGTGTGTAAGACAAATATTTTTTTTAACTATAAATCATTGCTTCCGGTCTGCTGTGATATGGGCGTTCACAAAAGGGATGTAGTGACAGGCGACGTACGTGTGTTGTGAAGAAGTGATGGTCCTCTGCTTCAGTGTTACTTTCTGCAGAAACTTCACAAGGCACTTTCATTTGTCAATCTGAACTTGTGAATGCGCCTTGGACAAGTTGGCCGGAAGCAATGGTTTACAGTTTAAAGAGTATTTTTCTACATTTAGCTTCAGAATCCATTGATTATTTGAAGAAAGAAAGTCATGTACATCGCGGATGGCATGAGGGTGAGTAAATGATGAGAGAACTTTCATTTTTGGGTAAACTATCTCTTTAAGCTGGCCAAAACAGGGCAGTTTTGGGTTTGGTCTGCTCAACAGATCCCGCTCCTCTCAGATCCCAGGCCCGATGAAACCGTACGATCTTGACAGGTGCGAGCTCGGAGCATGTGGTTCAGCTCAATCCCAACGTCAAACGGGGAAATGTTTAGGATCTTTACACTCAATCCTAATATGACCAGTTTAAGTGGCTCCTTCCGTTCGTACCTTCACTGTTCAACACATACAATACATGAATTTCTCCATACATACACTCGTATATGCAGATAAATATGAATTATTGTAAATGTTGAGCTTAGGGTAGACATTAAATATCGATTGGACATAAATGAGAGAGAGACCAATGAAACGGTAAGTTTAAAATGAATATGTTTGCCTCTGGAGACGGAATCTGTAGGCTGAACGAGGGTAAGAAACACATTAGGATAAAACAAGACTGCAACATGGACTGCATGCGACTGAGTGGCACTTTTTCCTTGCATGTGTGTGAAATGCGGCTATTCTAATTTTGCAAACTGCTATTCTCTTAACTGTCTTTTTATTTATTTTTTAACTGTCACCTGTAAGGGACCTTTCACACCGATCGCTTTTTTCTGTTCCACTGTGATACTTTTTTTTTTTTCAATGTAAACACGTGCTAGATGGACGACTTTAACCGTTGCGCTCCAGTCTCGCGTCTTTTGCAGCGTCTTGTGCAAAAAAAAAAAAAAATTAAACACACCTCTAAACCTTGCGCATTTAACAGCTAAAATGCTTTCTGTGTGAACCGGTCCTGAAACAGTCACATTTCCATTCAAAGTATCGTCTCAGTTTTCATCAACTTTTTGTTGTCAAAATCAAGCTCAGTTTAGTCATTGCAATGTCACTGAATTAGTGCTTAATTTTGGTTAAGTTAATACATAAACTCTATTAGAAAGCATGAGGTTGTGGGGACAGGAATTATTTTTGGTTTGGGGTTGTAGTGTTGTCACAACACTATTAAAGTCACCATGAAATCAAAATTGAGAGTAGAGTGCAACAGTCGGGTTCTGGAAGTAAAAAACTCCATTCATTTTCTCCATTGGGAAATTAATTTCAAATGTTAACTCATAAACCTTTAAAGACAGACCTACTGTGAGCTATACGAAGTTGTTAATCGACGGTATTTGCTTCTGCTGAAGCTGTCAGCCGCATTGTTTCAGCTTGTTTTTAATAACCGTTTAACAGCGGAGTTTCTGGTGAAAAACGACATTACCCATAATGCTGTAGCCTACCAAACATTACACCAATCAAAGTCGAAAAAAGCAACAAGTCCCAAAAGATCCCCCCACTCCCAGGAAGCAGTCGAAATCTACGCTCTTAAATGTTTGAATATATATGCATATTTTCCAATTAACTTAAATTATATTGTTTTTATATATAATCAACATTTTTAAATTAGTAGTTTTATGTTTCTCCATCGTTTTCAATTCAATTATGCTGTTCGCAATGCTTCATGGGATTGTTTTTTTCCCTCACAAAAGACCAATGCAACTTCTGTTTCATGCCAACTTTAAGGTTTAGCTCATGAATATTAATTTTGCCCTACCATATAATAGCTTTTCACAATACAACAAATTCCTAATTAAAAAATTCTCACCTTACTTTTTTTTCTTGCAAAATATCTTTTTTTCTACTCTGAAATATGTAATATATTCATATTATGGAAGTAAAGTAGTTTGTGAATATTCCATGTTGGACTTTTTGGACTGGGGTTGTTGTGTTGTCACAACACCAGTTAAGCCTTAGCTCATGAATATGAATTAGGGTATGCTCAGATTAATAGTCTATGATCTGAGGTCAGGTCTGTAATAGAGAAATGTGCTCAGTTCCAGGTCAAAACTGAAATGCATTAGCATTATGATTAGAATTAAACTGCGCAAAATCATTTAAATAATTTCCATCGCACACTGAGTAGCGTAACAATGTTATGTTCTCATAGTGCAGTGATTTAGTAGATCAGTGGATTGATGAAAGGATCAGTAATTATCTCATATGCTTATTGATATGCAGCCAAATAAAATGGTTTGATAATTATGTTTCTCTTTGCAGTGCCAAAGGTCGTGGCAAGGCCAAGGTTGGCGGCAGGCTGAGGTAAACGTGCAGCGAATCGAAACACCCCAGAGATCCAGAAGACTTTGCCACCTTCTTCACATATGCAGTTGTAGTCATAATAAAGCCATTGTTCTGTTTGACTGCACTTTTAGAGACAGTGAAGTGACATTTTTCATGTTGTATTTCTGCTTGTTTTTGTTTTTGTCTTGGACACACACAAGTATTCTGCATTTATCACTAAATTTAATGTCACTTTAACCCTGCAACATTAAAAGAGTCAATTGTCTACAAGGCATTGTGACTGTGTCTTAAGTTATACATTTCCCATTTGTAAAGGTAATGTTTATTTGACATTAAGGAAAACCTGGAAGATTATTAAACCCTACAAAATAAATTGATGTGAATCGCAAGCAGTCCAGAGAGAAAAGTTGCAGAGCCAATTATGTTCTTAGTAATAAACCAATTTAAACTAAATAGTGACCTTATTATTAAACCAATATAAGTAATAAGACTGAGGATTATTTTTGTCAGGTGACCTGATAATAGAAAACACAATAAATTATAGAGGTATGTCAAGGTCCAATCTAGCATTGACCAAGCTAGCAGCTGTAGTGTGTCAAAGAACATATTTGAATATAATCAGGTTTTGATGCTTCAAGATAATCTAATGCAAGGTTTGCCTGTGGATCGAGTTTTAGTTGTAAAAAAATAAGTTGCGTAAGTGTTGTTCATGCAGTTACCCAGAGGAGGGCGTTCAGAGTGCTTCAGGTGTTACTCCTTCAGGTTGGAGCTGTATTCATATATTAGTGCAGATACACTAGGACTTATTGTCCACAAGGATGAGACACATTGATCTCGGAGGACTCTTGAGATTCACCTCCTCCTCATCAGTGACACAGAGGAAGTGTTTCTATGGATGTTTCTCATTCATTGAATATAAAAACCCAGAATATTTAGCATAGTCTAATGGCTAGTTCTTTCAGTATCATAAATTACATACTATAGTTTTCTGTTCATGCTTTCATTCTGTTGTGGTGCATGCAGATACACTTATTGTCCACCAGGCGGAGCTGAAACACTGATCTGAAACTTTGAAATGCGTGTGCCTGTGTGCCTCGTCAGAAAACACAATTACATGTTTAGGCGTTGCATCATTTGTTTAACTGTGAACAAAAGTGATACACATCACTTAAAATAGATGAAATCAAAACTACTGACACATAGACAAACTAAAAGAATCAGATATTTCGTCACGTGTGTTGTGTGTTTACGCTTGCGACTTTCAGCAGAACATTTGATCTGTCTTTCTTACCCCATCAGAAGAGAGCTGATCTGACTCAGATCCTGACAAAATCATACATCAGTTTCCAAATATATGAAAATTACATTTCAGTCCTCTCACCCAGACCGAAAGTTCATTTATCCAACTGAAGCGCAGTTTTCATCCGCTCCACTAGGCGGCGTGAGCGGGCTTCACTGTCAGAGCGACTCCTTTGGATCCTTGGCAACATTGACGCTTGATGACAGACGCTACAACACGTGCAGATGACAGATATTAATATCAAACAACTGGACATATTTCAGAAAATAAACCGAGATGCAGTCGATAAAATGCGGGAATCGAACGTCGCGCTCTTCACCTGTAAGTAACTTTGCAAAAAGAGTATTTCTTTAGTAAAATGAGTAACGTTAGCTCTGTCAGGTAATTTAGGTTTGTTTACATGCTGCTCTATTGCTGAACTCCTCAGAACTCCCGAATAGTAAATCTTTGAATGTAAATGTCATCGTAAATCTTTGAATGAATTGAAATCTTTGAATCGCCATCTGATATTCATATTAATAAGTAGAATAATAAGGAATGGTGGTTTTTGTGTCTGTTGTAGTCTTACTGTAACGTTAGGTAATAATCTAGTGGATTGATGTTTGTTAATAGAGTCAGTTGGAGTGAGAAGCTCTGATGTTTCTGCTGCCTCATGGTTTTGTAATGAAAACCAACATATATACAGTCCAGAACAGAACAGGGCTAAAACCGTGTGCAGGAAACCAGCCTTTTAGGATTACTTTTGTTAATTGTGAAGGAAAGTAGGTTGTTCTTTCTTCAAACAGGGGCTACTCATACAACATTTTGGGGCTGACTGTGTGAGTATTTATGGTTATGGTGAGTTGCCAAGCTTATTTTCAGGATGTTTAGTGATGTCCACACAACATCCAATGTCCATTTTTATTCATCTTGGTGAATTTATGCTCATACAAAAGACATGGCAACATAACAGCCTTTCTGCCTTTACAGTATACCTGGTACATAACTATGGAGGCAGCATTTGATTTCACCACCGTAAGTGCAGTCTTGGTGTTGACATAAAGATGTTTAATGTTAATTGTTCTTATCTTCCGTCTGACATGCCATATCTGAGGACAGGGTTCCTGCACACTTTTGAAAGTCAAATTTAAGGCTTTTTAAGACCTTTTTAAGACCTGAAGAAATCAAAATTAATACCGTACATTAGGGCTGTGCAGTATTGACAAAAATATATCTTGATATTTTCAACGTTTTGTTGATAATAATTAGATGATATTTTACTGATTGTGTTTTTGTGCTGGTGCCATGGCTGGTTTAGGTCTATTGTTGACAGCTGACTCACGAAGATATTCATATTTTTCATATTCTATGCAGTGGTCAGTTCACAGCAGTGACAGAAATTAATATTTTAATTAAGGGGCAATATTTGCCACCTTAAATTGATTTTTTCAGGGGCATTTTCACCTATATATGGACATTTTTTTCTTATTTAGAGTTATGCATCACCTTTAATGTCAAATACTATCATTCAAATTAAATTATACAGTAATTATACAATAATACTTAATTATATAATAATCATACAGTACCACTGTTACAGTCAAATTAAATCATTCAATCAAAATCCATCTTTGCAGTGCAGAGGTGACAGAAGCGGCATCAGAAGTGGCATTAATTTATTTACACTCCATTTACAACTGCATAAATAAAGCTATGAGATATATATTTTTAAATCAATATTCAATATTTAAATATGAAATGATTTCTAATTTTAACATTTTATTTAAAGGGTACTTTAAATATGAAACCGCAGCGGCAAATCACTGTCTTAATAAGTGAGTCATTCATTCAACCGATTCGTTCAAACGGCTGATTCATTCGGGAAAGAAGCAAGTGATTCGTTCAAAACGCGGATTTCAGTCAAGAAATAATCGCTGTCGGTTGCATTGAGACTCTGCTACGGTTTCATTTTGAAATTATAGTCGGCGAAATAAAGGGAAAACAAACAATATTGACAATATTGTGTCTAAAAAGTAACTCAATGTTAACTTATTGTTAATTTAACTGTTGTATAACATAAATATCACACTTGGAATCGTGCACGGGAAAACGGCACTCTTTCTGATGTGATATTCTAATATAAGAACATAATATGATATAAATATAAGACAAAAACTAACTTGGGGACATAACTGCACACATCACGCAGTGAAAGCACGAGAGACAAATGCGATGTCAGCTCGCCTCGCAGTGCCTCGTACATTGTTAAAACAATGATTGCAATATCATAAAAGACAATACACATCGCACACCATACGCACATAAAGAATGAACTTACAACTGAACTGACATTTACGACCTTTCTTCTCCTTCTCTCCTCTCGCGTGCAGGAGACAGTTATGCTGCCGCGACTCGCGAGTGACGCGAAATGTCACGTGAACTAGCAAATCCACAAAGATAGAATAATAAATCAATAAAAATACGTACGCTAATTAGATGGTTTTAATTTGGAAAGCTTTTAGATATGTCTAAGTCAAAGGTTCATCTAAAATTTAAGACCTTTCATAAGTAAAAATAAGACTTTATAAGACTTTTTATGGCCTTAAATTTTAAAAATCTAATTTAAGACTTTTTAAGACTTTTTAAGGATCCGCGGGAACCCTGGAGGAGTTGGTGGTGCAAGGATTTGCTGGAGAACCTTGAGATTGAGGGGTATGGTTTGTGAAATGAAAAGTAGTACATTAATAGATGCTACTGTCAAAGTGGGAAAGCATGATGAACATATTTGGTCAATGTCAATTACAGACATGGTCGAAGATTTGCACATTTTACACAGGAAGATGGGGGATGGAAGTCTGCCGCCTGTCTTTCATGTCCCTAGGAAAAGGAGACACAGCACTTATTTGTTAATATTTCAGTAAAAAGTAGTATGTATAATGTGCAGCTGTTTCTTAAACAATCTGTTTTTCTATGTTTTACTTTTTGAAGGTACCTACACTCCCAGCTAAGATGATAAGGGTTTCACAGGATGAAACGATCTGTTTCATCCTGTGATGAAGCAGTGGCCACTGACATTTTGCAGGCATGTGTTCATAATCACTTTAATGTTGATGAAATGGCTTGCAATGACTCTATATTAAATCATGTTTCATATCTACAGTTGCCCGATGACATTCTCCAGAGGACCCTTATCTTCGTAGTTCTAGAAGACGGCTGCTCTGCAATCCTGAGGCTGGCTCTGACATGCCAGAGATTTAACAACATAGTCAGCCAGGAGCATTTTCAGCAGGAGGCACACTTCAGTTGGTTTGATAGTGAGTTCTAGAAGTGTGGTTGCCCCATCTTTTTTTTTTTGTGGCTAACAATTAGGCTAGGTTAATCCAAATCCAAATAAATACAAAATTCTGATTAATTTTTGATCATATTTTTAATTTTAATAAACTAAATTGTTACAGTATGGTCCCTTGCAGTTAATGCGTGTTGTCAAAATAGTTTAAGATTATTATTTTTTTAAACATTTTTATTATTTTACTCCTGTTGATTTGTACGCTCTGATTAGTCATCCTTATAATCTGCATAGAATGTCAGTCTTTTGAGATGCCTTGTTTTATTTTCATCTAGGGTATCTTTATTTGAAGGGCAGCACATCCCCAACAGACGTCCCTCTCCCACTATGCCCTGACCTTGGGATCTGTGTGTGGAATTCTCTCCTCATTTATCTGTGCGGGCCTCGTCCTCTCCCACGTATCCTTTTATTTTTTCACATTCCTGATCCTGGTACTGTTTATTTCTTAATTGCATCAGTATAATCCTCAGACATGCACACAACTGAGCGAACATAGTTC